GTGCACAAGCATGCACAATATATGCCTCCCTCTCGCACTCACTTGCATTCACATACGTACACATGCCGCAATGACTTTTGCTTTGCATTTTTCATGAAGCAAAAAAAAAGAACAAATGTGAAATGAAGAAGAAGCAACGAGCGTAACTTTTCAGGCAACATTTTCATTTGCGTTTTGCGTTCCGTTTCGTTTGGTTGCGTTCACACTGTGCACTTTGGCGCTTGTTGGTTTTTATCATTATGCCAAATGCACAGACACACCCACAAAAGCATAAACAGAAGGAACAAAACAAGTAAAAGCGCTCCAAGCGACTTATAGCGACTAAGCAATACCCTGTGCCAATGTAGTTGACGAATAACTAAGATGATTGAATTGACTGTTAAACTGTCAATGCACAGCAGAATGACTTTCAAGCTATAGCTTTATATAAAGACTATATACCTCTTGTTTTCCTAGCTCACAGGATACAAAAGAAGAAGAAGATAAAAAGAAGAATCCGCTTAGTAAAGCAAAGCGAAACAAAGTCCAGTTGATTGCCGCATGACGCCCTTGAAACATAGCGCAAAATATGTTCGTGTGTGTGTGCGTGTTTCTGTGTAGTAGCACACACTACTGTAATAGGTATTCCACGTAATGAGTTGAGCAAATTACGTAATACGTACGCCAAACTGATCAGAAAACGTAAATAGGTACGTTACGGGCAGCCAGGCGACGCTGAGCGTGAATGTTGGACTATATTAATATGCATACACATATAGATGCACATAAATATACATATGAATGCAAAAGTATTTGTTTGTTTACATGCATGTGTAAGGTTTAACTATATAAGAACTTTCAAGCCTTTAAGCTTTGCGCCTTAACTGGTAGTTAAGTAATACTATATGTCAATATTTTTATAAAATCAAATACAGTGAAGAGTCGCTAAGAAGAAGTCGAATATCTGAAATCCGTAACTTTTTTTTATTGAGAGTAAGGTATTAATGTTGATATAAACAGTAAAATCCAAATATACGTGACTTCTAGAACCTAAACCTATATTTGAGATCGCTTTAATACGGAAAACTCTTTAATTGCGCCATAATCTGCTTTCCGTTTGCGGCCACTTAGCGGAGCCACACAGTACCTTTGCGAGGAGATGCCATCAATTTCTAATAAAAGACAATGCAAGCGAATTTTATGTGCAATTTATTTGTTGGGATTAGCCGCGGATTAACAAGTTAAATTACATATTGTGCTAACAAGCATGCTATGTATGTATATGGCCACGCCCACAGAAGCAATAAAGCCCATACACACACACACACACACACACACGCATTAAAAGCCGCAGTTGAGGCATTTCAATGTGAGCTGCAAGTGCAGGCATGTGTGTACGTATATGTGAGTGTGTAAGTGCGTGTGTATGTGTGCTGTTGCATGCCTCAGTGCGCTTGCTAGATGGTACTGCGGGTGCTGCCGGCTGCCGGCCGCCAGTTGCCTTTTATTTTTAGCAGTCAACGCGGAAAAATAGCAAAAGGAAAACGGAAAAAAATACCGAGCATGAGTAGAGGTAGAGAAATCAAACAAAAACATTCGGATGGATGGGGAAACGGTAGATGGCTGGGTAACGGTAAACGCCCAAAATCTCGGCGGGGCGTGGCGCTGCATGCTGACGTCTTTGCAAAAGTGTTTTGCTATGCAATTTGAATAATTTAATGGATTTTTATGAGCAGTAAAACGCTCGAAGCATGCAGACGACGAGTGAAAGAGAATGTAGAGAGTGGAGAGTAAAGAATGAACAGTTAAGAGAGGGAACATACTACACACGCACACACACTGATATGTGGCTAGGTTTGGGTTTCAGCTTGGCCAAGAACCGTAGTCGAGCTGGTAGAATTCAGTTTGTGGACTGAGGGTCTAAAGTTCTGGCGCTGTGGGCTTATTCAATTTCGCAATCGCCGCTTGCCGGCGTCGCCAAATCTCTGCAACTGGCTCCAATTGACTGCCGTGCCACTTCCGCAGACGACGGCCACGTTGCCAGCATCAAAAGCAGTCAAGCGTTTGCCTCCTCAATGCAACAAAAACAACAACACCGACATCAACAATAACAACAAGAGCAAGTGCAAGCATTGCAACGGCTGCACAATGCTCTGTACGCAACTTAATTGCCACGACTGAAGACTAGAAATAATTACAGATCCGCAGTACAAAACCAGCTCAAAATACAGGAGTTAATTATAAAATGCAGTAGATTTAACTAACAAGCGGTAAGCCAATATGCTCTAGAGCTCTTTGGGTACAGGGTGTAACGAGGACAACAGCAACCAGACCGACGACAGCAAATGCAATAAATTTTCAAGTCATTTCAACTTCCGGTGTGTGGCCCGATTACAGTTTAGTAGCTGTGAATATATAGGCGACACACACATATATACACTCACACACATGCAGCTCATCTCCTGCAATCTCTCTCTGTCTCTCTTTCACCTCTTACGCTCCAACGGCCTAGCAACGCTTTTTACTCACGTTAAAGCAGCGACTGCTCATTAAACGTCGAAGCGGTTGAATTTTATGTTGCCTACTTTTCAGCAGCACCGCAGGTTTTTGCCGTTGCCCAGCATTAAAGGGCCGCGGCAAACGCCATTGTAATTATAGTTGAAACCACTTGGGAGCGAGCAAGACACTCAATTATCGCAGTCATGTGAGGCAAAAATTATGAAAAGACGAGATGACTACGAAGAAGAAGAAGCAAATACAAAGAAGAAGAAACATCAAGGAAGAGACATGACTTTGGTATGGGTCTGCGCTTAGAGATGAGCCATTTGCGAAGTGGCTTGAGACGATACTTTTAGCGATGTATATGGCATATATACATATACATATATATTTCTATGTTTACTATTATTCTTAGGCTACAATAAATTTTAATTTGCCTTTAGTTTAATTTTAAAAAACTTTTACCATTCATTAGATCTAAACGAGCTAGTTCGTGTCACGCACTCCGCTCTAATTGGCATGGTAATTCGAGCTGCTGAGACTTTGCGGCGCTCTGAAGTTTCTTTTTGGCGACACGTTATTTGCCTTGTCATTGTCATAGGCTGACGTTGATGTTGATGCTTCCACTGTTGTTGTTGTCACTGGCGCCATTATTACAAATATTTCCATTGTTGTTCGTTAGCGTCGCCTAGAATCGCGGTTTTCTTCCTGTAACTGTCACATTTCATCATCATTATTAACATCATCATCGTCATCATGCAGTTACCAATACAATGTAACCACATTTCTTTGCGACTATTTGTGTTCGTGATGGCATCCCCTCTTCATCTCTCTCCTTCACTTGCCATAAAAACGCTCAACTGCTTCCTGTTTGAGTGCAAGCCTCTTTCCCGCTCGCACTCCCTCGTCTGGTGATTAGCGAGCGCAGCACAGCCCCAGCAGCAGCGATAATGTCGCCTGAGGCAAGCTGTTGGGCTTGTGTCTGGGTAACTAGTGGGTTGGTCTACCAGGCAAATGATTGCCACTTGAGGTGTAAACGAGCGTATTTTACAGCGAGCCACCCGCACTTCGAGACACTTCCAAAATAAAGTAAGAAAGTTTATCAACCAAACATAACGGAAATCGCTGTCATTGCAGCAGCACAAGTAAACGATAAAAATAAAGACAGCGAGCGAGACAGAGATAACACAGAACATTGGGGATCAGTGTAAAGTTAAGCTATCGATAAGCATATTTATCGTAAAAAAGTCAAAGAGTAAAATAAATAAATCGATGTTCGATCTGACAGTTTATTATTTATCAATAAATATCAATGCGTAGTTGTTTGTATAACAATTTGTTTATCGGAAACATTTAACACAAATATCGAGCTGCCATTTTGATTTTAAGTCCCAGAGATATTGTTGCAGCTGCGTGAGCAGAGCTTCCACAATGCTCCTAGCAACGCAAATGAATGTAAGCCAAAGCGCCTTTGATTCATTTTGATAGCTTGCTATGGCCCACCTAAGCCCCAATTATATTAATGCAAGAAGAGCAATAAAAATAACAGCAACATCTTGATGATGCTGAACATAAGATGGACATTTAGTTGCCTAGTTGCACTTACTGATTATAGCCATTATAAAAATAGTTTTAAGACGAAAGATGCTGCAATAGCAGCAGCAGCAGCACCAGAAGCAAAGCTGTTGCAAGTGTTATTATTCCTGTTATTATTAGGGATGCTCGAAATAAAAAAATCAATAAATTAACTCAAGCTATAATTAATAATTTTAACAAGGGCAACACACAATATAATTAAATTATTGGAAAAAAATAAGAATAACAAATAATAAATAAATTGTGATATGCATTACAACAGATTAAACTACGCTCACATTTCATGAGCACCCCTACTCATTGGTGTCTGTGCTCAACGGCCTTAGGAGGAGTGACAGTGTATTTTGGAGACTATATTTTATTCTGTTTTGTGCAAGTCTTACTTTTTGGCAGGAGAAGACTGTTTTAAACATATAAAATTTTTTATTTAAATAAAATATATTCACAAAATGATATTTACTCGTATATGAATTTTATAATATGAAAATTCACTTTCCTTTTTCCCGTTATTAAAGCCGTTACTTTTCGTATATCAATCAAATTCCAACAAGCGGCACATTCCCATGTATTCCAGTCTACACACATTTAGTCAAGTTGCGCACCATCTCAATAGCTCAGACTGGCCACACTGCGCATTACAGCGCTGCCAGACTATAAGGTCAACAGCTGTTTTACTCAAAGACCTTAAAGTACACATACCTACGCACACATATTTCTATGCATATACACAAACACGTTCAAAGTAGATATGTATTTGAATAAATATAGGTTTGTGAAAGATATATGCAGATATCGGGATAAGATATAGCTTTTTAATTTGCATGGCTATCGAAATTAATAAGATACTAAAAGGCAAGTACCCCCCGCCTGTCCTTTGCTTCACCTTTTACATGTGCCGTATGCATGATAACAAATTGGTTAAATAAACACAAACGCACACTCACGCAGCTATATGCACATCATCATTATATACGTGTACATATATATATATATATATATTTCTATTATACTTAATATTTATATTTATTATTATTAATTTCAGGTGAACGTCGAACACTTCGCAGTGATTAGTCGTCGAATTCGCAGTAACTGTTTATTTAAGTGAGCAACCTTTTGACATTGATAATGAGCTCCAACGGCGATCACACCGATAGTCACCTGCTCATCCGAGCTCCACCAATTGATATAAAGCAATCGCCCAACGACGCGGTGCCACCATCACCCACAATGCAGCCTCTAGCGATGCGTCGCAACGTAAGCGCCGACAGCCTACTGATTCCCTCTAACTCGAAGGAGGCACGTGTCCGTGTCATCTACACGGGCGGCACCATCGGCATGATGCGCAACGAACGACACGGTAATTTACCGAAACGATCTCCAACCCCACTCCACTCTCTCTTTCATAATCCTTTTCTTCATCATTTTATATTTCCAATCTCCACATTCCAATCTTCATCTGCATCTTCTCTTTCTTCCAATTCTTTAAGTTCCTCTCCTTTACCAAACTTCCAACTTAACTGTCATCATCTCATCTTCTATTTTTTCTAATCTCCATTTCCAATTCTTGCTTGCAATCTCTTGTATGTAATTCTCTTAGTTTTGGCGCCCATTCCAAATGCTTTGGTTCGACTTATCCGGAAGTATCCGAATATTCATGACGAGGAATATGCGCAGCGGCATTTTGGCGCTGGCGCATCGATGGGGCCGCTGGTGCTGCCCTACGTGCAGGGCGAGGCAAGGCGAGTCATCTACCAGGTGACGGAATATTCGCCGCTGCTCGACTCCAGCAACATGACCATGGAGGATTGGGCGCGCATTGCCAAGGATATTTACGTGAGTAGTCAAATAAATAGAGCTGCAACACAGAGAGACAGAAAGGGAGAGAGCGATACAGCCTATTTGACAAAGTGAAGCGTAGCTAACGGGAAAGAACGAAACTGTGAAATAGACGGAGACGGAGAGAGATAACAGATATCTTACCGACTTAGCTGATAGAATTGGTGAGGAAACAACATATCGGTATTCATATTTATCGATTAATATAAATATTGTTGGCATATGCAATATAATTGCCTCAGCGCAACCTCTTACACTCACTCTCTCTCTCTCACTCTGTCTCTCCCTATGTCTGTCTGTCTGTCTCATACTAATGCTTCACTTGTCACTTCGCAGCAATCGTATGAGTTCTTCGATGGCTTCGTGGTGCTTCATGGCACAGACACGCTCTCATACACGGCCTCGGCGCTGTCATTCATGTTGGAGAATCTGGGCAAGACGGTGATCATAACGGGCAGCCAGCTGCCGATCTTCGAGACACGAACGGATGGCAAAGATAACTTCACCTCGGCGCTGATTATTGCCGGCAACTATGTGATTCCGGAGGTGTGCATCTTCTTTGGGAACAAGCTGCTTCGCGGCAATCGCACCGTGAAGGTTAGCTCTAACTCGCTGGATGCCTTCGATTCACCCAATGTGCCGCCATTGGCCCAGATCGGAATCAATGTCAACGTGGACTATCGCCTAATCTTCCGGCCATGCACCGTGGAGCGTTTCTGCGTCCACTCGCAACTGGACGAGAATGTGGGATTGTTGCGCATCTTTCCCAGCATTTCGTTGGCCACAATTCGCGCCTTCTTGGCACCGCCTATGCGCGGCGTTGTGCTGCAATCCTTTGGCTCCGGCAATATCCCATCAAATCGCAAAGATCTGATCGACGAGTTGAGAGCAGCCGCCGGTCGCGGCGTCATCATCATCAACTGCACCCAGTGTCCAAATGGTGCAGTTGCCGAGATCTATGATACGGGCAAGGTGCTGTTCGATGTGGGTGTCATACCTGGATACGATATGACACCAGAGGCGGCGCTCACCAAGCTAGCCTATGTGATAGGCAAATCTGAATGGTCGCTCGAGGTGAAGAAACAGGTGGGTTAACAGAGAACTCAACTATTCTTAGAGCCAGACTAAATTGTAACTTATACCTGGTCCAGATGATGCAATCGAACCTGCGTGGGGAGCTGACTTCTATGGGCGCGCATTCAATGAAAGACTACGACCTCGTCGATGCAGTGGCTCGATCACTGCATTTGTCCTCACCGCAGGAGCTCAATCAACTGGGCAACACGCTCTTCCCGGCCATGATCAACTCCGCCGTCATGGAGGGCAACATAAAGAAGTTGACCAACCTAAAAGCCTATGGGGCCAATCTCTCTGGCACCAATCATGACCAACGCACGGCGCTCCATCTCGCCTGCCAGCTGGGCGATGTGGCCATTGTGCGTTTCCTCCTGCAAAACGGCGTCTCGGTGCACAAGCGGGATCTGTGCGAGCGCACGGCATTGCAGGAGGCCATCTCAACGGATAATGCAGAGATCATTCAGCTGTTGATTAGTTGTGGCGCCCATTTGACTGGCTCCTCGCGTGCCGTGGGCGAACAGCTGTGCGCCGCTGCTGCTCGTGGCGCACTGCGTCGCCTACAATCCTATCAGCTGGCCGGCGCCGATTTAAATTTGGCAGATCCTTCCGGCCGCACAGCGTTGCATGTCGCTGCTCTCCATGGCCACGTGAAGGTGGTGCAGTTCCTCCTGGACAATATGGAGGAGGCGGAACTCAAGGATTTGATTGGGCTGACTCCATTGGACTATGCCACACGTGGCGGCCACTTGGAGATCGTGCGTCTGCTAACGTCCGATGACCCGCAACTGGATGCCTAACAGTTGGCTCCTCCAACAATTGCTTCTGAAGGCTCAATACTAAAAGTTTCTTTGTACAAATACGTACGTCAATGTATGTATGCATATACATATATACCTAATTCAGTCGTGTTGTGCGCACTTAGAACAATCTAGTCTATTCTATATTGTTGCTAAAAAAGCTTTTACTTAAATGCATTTTGTATACATATTTATATATTTGCACTCGAATTCTCATATACTTCAAGTTAACGGTTGTTAATAAAGAAAATCTCGATTATTTCGATAACAATGTCACTTTAAATCACGATCGATAAGTCACTAAGCTAAAGACAGAAAAGGATGATAAAAATAACATAACCATTATTAATAACATAATAATTTGTTAATAATAGTACTATGTTTGCGTAAAGAATTTTTTGTACACAATTTATCAATCTGCGAAAAATAACCAGCAAACAAATCACAAACAGGTTGACTTTATACTATAACAAAGTGCACAAGCAAATAAAATAATTGATAAAATATTTATGACAATTAAAAACACTTATCAAATAAAAAATGAGCACATAAAAATATTATTCTTTCGAAAGTTTAATATTTAATATTATTATTAATATCTATAATTATTCAATATAAATATTTGCTTCCGATTAGTTTAGCGTATTTATAATCGATACTATCGCATCGGAGATAAGAACACCCCTGTAATTGAAAAACTAGGGCAGTAGAACAACTTTAGAGCCCTGGTGTTCAAGTTTCTTTTTTGTTAGCATTGCTTAATGATAATTGGTAAATAGTTTTTCAATGAAATGTTAAGTTAATTATGCCAAAAATCAAGTTACCTTTGTAAATTACGAAACACGCGTGTATGTGTATCCTTACGTGTACATGTACGTGAAGAAATGTGCGAAATTGTTTCGTCTAGAGATGTACACACACACGCACGCAGACACATACACACACACACACACACCGAAGAAGTGCACACGTCAGTGCCACGAAATCTGCCCAAAATTTCAAACGCTAAAGCCCTCAACTAGACTTATATATTTTGTATAATTCATAGAACATGTTCTTTTACCATTTCAGTCAATGTCGATAGTTAGCAACACGAACATCACGAAACACTCGAGACGACATTGGATATATCCACTCCGGAGATAGCCAGTGCTTCCTCTTTTTTTTTTGTTTTCCCCTATTTTTTTTGGTAATTTTATTGTAAACGTGTTTAGCTAGTTGAATTTGTTTGTTATGTCCGGGCCAATGTCCGAGCACATCCAACACAATGAGCCCGAGGATACGGAAGACACCAGCTCCACAGATATTTCACTGATACAGGTAAACTACATTTGTATAACAACAACATCAACAACAACAATCTAACTTTCCTTTGGCCTTGCCTTTGCAGCATGTGTCATCTGGTGGAGTCGGTGGCAAGGGACGGCTGGACACCCTTCGCGAGAATCTGTTTAAGCAGCAAGTAAGTCTTGTATTAGTTCAACTGCTAAATGCGATCTTATCTTATTCATACCTGTCTATTCTCTTACAGGAACGTCTCACAGCACTGCGTGAGCGTGCCTTGCGCAAATCCGAGGATGGCAATGGGAGCAAGCCTAGCAAAAGCCATTCGATGGGATCACTCCAATCGCTGGGCCAGAGGCTGACCATGTTGAAGGTGCGCAACTCCGATTCGCCCCAAATTCTGCACGAACTGCCAACACAAGACTCGTCCACACCGGTAGCCACGCCCACAAAAGATGCTACGGGCAGCGAAAAGTTGCAAATGCTGAATCAGCGCACCGAACAAAATCGTGCGCTACTCGAACAGCGCAAACGCGACATGGCCAAATCGCTGCAGTCTGTAAAATCGGGGCTAAGGCAGAGCGTCGAGCTGGGCTCCTCCATGAGCGATCTGCGTGCGACAGCTGCAGCGGCGCCTGTATCCAGACACTGGTCCGCAGCAGATCTGCAACTCCAGCTGCAGCAGCAACAGACGCCGCAGCAGCCGAGCGAGGAGGGACGCCTGAAGCTGCTCAAGAATAAGATGAGGCTCATCGAGATGAAGCAGAGCCGCAAGGAGCAGGAGTTGCAGCAGGAGCTGCACGATCTGCGCAACGAGTTGACGCGACGCGAAGAGCTGATCCAACAGCTGGAGGCGACGCTGGCGCAGCAGAACGAACAGGCGGACAGCCAACGACCCCTGGTCGAGCAGGAGAATGCACGATTGCACGCGGAGATTGAGCAGCTGCGCGAACGCAATGCGGAGCTAGAGAATAGCAGCGAAATGCTGGAAACGTTACGACTGGAGCTCCACAGTGCAAGGGAGCAGCTGCTGGAGCAGCAAACAAGCCAAGCGGCAGCGGCGGTGGTCTCAACGGATGCCCAGGTAAATGTGGAGCTGGCCAAGCAGCTGCAGGAGCTAGAGAAGCAATTGCAAGAGCTTCGCAACAGCAAGGAAGAAGAGACGCAGCAGCTGGAACCAAATGCCATCAGGGAATCCGAGCTCGAAGCCACCATTGCAATGCAAAACGAACAGCTGGCGGAGAAGACCACCGAGCTGAATGTACTCAATGTAAATTTGCGTGTGCTCGAGGAGAAGCTAGCGCAGAGCGTCAAGAGCAAACCCATCTTCCTAGACGAGGAAGCCAGCGATGCTAGCGAACAGCTGCAGACGCAGCTGCAACAGCTCAAGCAAAAGCTGGATGAGTGCAACAAGAGCAACATTAAGCTGAAGCTAAAGTGCAAGCAGGCGGAGAAGCAGCTGCAGAAACTGCAGAGCCAGGATACGCAACAGGAGCTTGCCCGGATTACCGCCGAGAATGAGCAGCTGCAGCAGCGCATCACAGTGCTGGAGGATGAGAAGGGTCAATGGCAGCTAGCTCACGTGGAAGAGGATGTGGCCCAGGAGCAGCAGCAGCAGCTGATTGCTAGCAAGCCAACTCCATCTGCTGGCCAAACAGAAGCCATACGGCTGCTGGAGGAGCAAAAGGAGGAGCTGCAGCAGGCATTGGAAGCCTTGCAGCTGGGCAGCGAGACAGCTCGCGTCGAATCAGAGCTAAGCGAGGTGCAATTGGAGGAGCAGCTGTCACAACGTGTCCAACAGCTGGAATCGGAGGCGAACGAACAGCAGCAGCAGCTGAAAACACTGCAGACTGAGAAGGAGGCGCTGGACAAGAAGCTGACTCACTATATCAACGAGAACATGGAGCTGCTTGATAAGCTGGAGAAGTTAAGCTCCTCCAGCTCGGCCGAATCCATAGAGATCGTGGAGCGGCCCACTGAGCGCCGCTTTAGCCAGCGTCCAGGCAGCGAGGGCGAAGCGGATGCAGATGGAGATCAGCCCAGCGGCAGCAGCAGTCAACAGCCCACAGAGCCTGCCGTACTGCCCAGCTTTGTGAGCGAACTAACCCAAACGGATTTGGCAGCGCCCGAGCTGGAAGTGAACGAGAGTCTTGCCCAGTTGCGCAACGAAAGCGACGAGTTGCTGCAGAAGATTGAGCTCTTCACCAATGAGCGACGTGAGGTGCTGGCCAAGATGGAGCAACTGCAGTCGGAGAATGCAGCACTTCAAGCGCAGCTGAAGCTTGCCCAGGAGCAGCAGCAGGCGGAGAAGACAACACTCCAAGCCGAGCTGAAGCTCGCGCAGGAGCAGCTGCAGACCGAGAGTGCAGCGCTGCAGACCCAACTGGAGGAGCTGCAGCGGGATAAGCAACAGTTGTCGCTGCAGCTCAGCGAAAAGTCGAACCTGTCGCAGGAACTAAGCTCCATGCAGCGCTCCTCAGAGGTGGTGGCTGCCCTAGATTGTGGTGAAGGTGGCGCCGCGCTCTTTGACAAGTGCGAACGTTCCCTCTCGAAGCTCAGCTCCGAACTGGAGGCCTATCGCAAGGCAAACGATCGTAATGCCAAGCTAAATGTGTCCAAGAAGCTGGCCAAGGAGGCGAAGAACGTGCACGTCCAGCTGACGGAGCTGCTGCACAAGGTGAAGGAAGCTAGCACCGCAGTGGAGACGGTCACCGTAGTGGAAACTGTCGTCGCTGTCACCGCGCCCAATGGCAAAGCTTTGGCGGAATACGAGCAGCTGACCGCACAGAATGCCGAGCTCAAAGCAACGCTGGCTGCGCTTCAAGTGGAGCTTGAGGAGCTGCGCGAAAGCAACGAGCCACAGGAGACGGTCAAGCAGCTGGCCATTGGCCAAGCAGAGGAGGATGAGCAGGAGAGGGCAAGAGAACGTGAGATGGAGAAGGAAAAAGGGCGAGAGCGAGACGACTTGATAGCTGAACTGCGGGCTCGAGCCGAAGAAGAGCAGCAGCAGCTGACGCAGTTGGAGTCTGTGATAGCGGAGCTGCGTGCTGGCGAAGCGGAGCATCTGCAGCTGATAGCCAGCCAAAGTGCGGAGCTGGTGCAGCTGCAGCTGCAAGCCGAGCGATTCGATCAGTCGCTGAACAACAGCGAAATGGCGCACGAGAAGCACATGGAGCAGCAGCAGCGTTTGCGACGCGAACTCCAAGCTCGCATCGAGACGCTGGAGGGGGAGCAGAGCATATTGCAGGCGCTCGTCGCAGAGCAGAAGCAGCAGCTGATCGAGAGCTACAGCGAGAGCGAGTACGAAACGAATCTGAAAATGTTGGAGCTGCAGCAGTGCCAACAGGAGCTGGAGGCCAGCGAGCAGCGCAACAAGGAGCTACGCGAGAAGCTCAAGAAGTACGCATTGAATCTGAAGAAGCGCACCGCGGAGCAATCGGAGCTGGAGCAGCAGCTGCATCGGGAGCGAGCCACAGTGGCTGAGCTGCAGGAGCAGCAGCAGCGTCTGCACGGCATGGACCAGCTGACGCAGGATAACGCACGGCTGCATGAGCAGCTGGTGAAGCAACAGTCCAAGCTGGCGAGTCTGCCCAAGCTCAAGGAGGAGGTGGAACGTCTGCAGGTCGAGCTACAGAATACGGTCCATGCAAACACAGCGCTACGCCAAGAGAGCTACAAACTGGAACTGGCACTGGCGGAGCAAACCTCGAACGAGGAATTGCGTCGACAGCTGGAGCAGAAGTCGCTGAAGTTTGACAAGTCCAAAGAGGTCATTAAGCATCGCAATGCCACCATACAGAGTCTGCAGCGTGAGCTGGCCGAACTGCGCGCTAAGCTGCAGGCACAGCCCGAGGAGGAAGAGGAGGAGAAGGCGAAGGAGAAGGAGAAGGCGCAAGCACAGCAGCTTGATCAACTGCGGGCGCAAAATGCTAAAATGGCCGAGGAAAAGGTGAACTTCGAGCTGACTATCGGGCGTCTGGAAACCATCCATGAGGGTATTCAAGCCAAGCTTCAGCAGGATCAATCCTACATTGAATCGCTGGAAGCACAAATAGTTGAGCTACAATCGAAGTGTGCGGCACTCGAAGATCAAGCCGCAGCGCTACGGGCACATGAGCTGAGCGGTAAGGAACAGATGCAGCTGCTGGAGCAGCAACTGCGCGAAGCGCTTGCCCAGCGAGCGGAGCAGGAGTCGCAACTAACCGAGCGTCTGCAGCAGCTGACGGAGCGGGAGCAGAGCCAAAGCCGGCAACTACAACTGCTGGGCAGCGAGGCGGAGGAGGCACGCGATCAAATGCTCGCGTTGCAGGCCACACACGAGGCGCTGCTGCAGCGTCACAAGCAACAGACCCAGCAGGCCCAGGCAGAGCGGGAGCAGCTGAACAGCAGCAGCGAACAGGAGCTGCATGAGCTGCGGGAACTGCTGCAGACGCGCAACCAGGAGCTGCAGCGTCAACGCCAGGTCTACGACGCCAAGCTGGCAGCCAAGGCCACGGAGCTGGATGAGCTGGAGTGTGATCTAAGTGCGCATATGGAACGTGCCACCGTGGAAACGCGTGATCTCACCCAACAGCTGGAAAGGTCACAGGAACAGCTACAGGCACGCACCGAGGAGCTAACGCGGCTTAACGAGGAGCTGGCCGATGTGGAGCGTGAGCGTGCGGCACTCAGCCGGGAGGCGGTTATGCTTCGCCTGCAACACGACAGTGCCGAGCAGGACGTGCTCGAGCTGCAAGAACTACGCATGCAGGTCATACAGGACAAAACGGAAATGGACAATCTTCGCTCGCAAATCGATTCGCTGTGTGCCAATCACAATCAGGAATTACAAGCGCTGCAACAGCAAATCGCCGAACTGGACACCCTGGGCCAGAACCAAACGGACGACCAGGTCTACATTGAGACCGAGAACAAGCGTCTCGCCGAGCAGTTAGTAGAGCTGCAAGTTCGCCTCGACGAGCAGGCCGAACAGCTGGCACGCCAACAGGCAGCTCCAGGCCCAATTCCAGCTCCAGTGAACTTCCAGCAGCAGCCGCAAGCAACAGCTACAGATGATTGGATGGCTTGGTCTGGCATGATACAACCCACTCAACGACAAGAACAGGTATGTAGCTCCGAGCACGAACAAAAAGCTAAAACGAGAGATTAGTACTCAAATCCCGCATAAATCGCCCTCAAATTTTTTAAGGATTAAGCTACATTTTATGTTAGTTTCTTCATCCACACTGCGCTATCGATATATTATTGACTACCCGCTAAATTATGCTCAATACTTATTGAAACTGGCTCAAAATCATGCATATCGATTCCAATTCGATCAGTGGGCAAAGCTAATTACGAAGTTATCAAACGCTGCTGGAACAATGGTTCACTTTCTAATGGCTACGATTAATATGAACCTTAGATGCAAGTTCATTTTAACTCAATTGGACATAATATTCAAACAAAATTAGAGCAGGAACTAATTCGATAACAGCTCGAAATACCATCCGTTGTAAGGCGGCACAGCTGGGATTTCATTTCAATTATTTTTCACAGCGGATCAATTAAAATCGTAATTTTTCTATTGTCCTGCACAATGAACAAATTGTTAATTATATTTTACAGAATGTGCCATTGCCTGCGCCCGCCATGTTCTTTGGCAGCGATGCGGCAGCTGCGCCATCGCCTTTCGATGAGATTGTTGCTCAACCCCTGAGGATGACCACACAGAATCTAGGCATGAGTATGCCACAAGCCCAGCCAGTGGAGAACATTGAGTCGAGTGGAGTGGAACCAACTATTGAGGATCTGCAGCGTAATGTATCTGATCTGGAGAAGCATGCCAAGGAGCTCGAGATGAAATTGCTGGCACGCAATCAGGCGCTAGCCGAGCATGAGGAACGACGTGCCCAACTTGAGCGTCTGCTTGTTGAACGGGAACAGGAGCTGGCGCAGCTTCATGCTGCCGCTGAAGAGCGCGAGCGTGTTGCAGCCATTGAAGCGCTAATACAGCCAGCTGTGGCTCCGACGACGGCTGCTCCTACGCTAGATATGTTCTTTGGCAACGAAACGGTACCAGACGCAGCTGTGACCCACCTAGATCTTGGTCTTCCGCAGACGAAGCCCGTAGTAGAGCAGGTCATCATACCAAAGAAGGCGTATATTTGCCATCCAGAGCAGGAGCAACAGCAACAACAACAACAGCAGCAGCAGCAACAAACGCAGCTGACGAGCGACTGGGGTGTTGACGTGGACGAGGATCCCTGGGCCAATGCGGGAAAAGAGGAACAGCTGACTGATGCGACGGCAGCGTTGCTAGTGCGAATTCAGGAGCTGGAGAGCCAGAAAGCGAAACTGCAAACGAAAACAGCAAAGTTGATGAAGTGCGTTAAGGAGTACCGCAGCAAGGAGCAGCAGGAGCAAGCGCGTAACGCCAACAACAATGATCTAGATAGCGCCATCATGGACGAACTGAAGTATCAGCTGCAGCTGCAGGAAGCGCGCCAAGCTAAGTCCGAGGAGCTGCTACAGCAACAGACGCAGGAAAAGGAAAAGCTGTTGAAGCGCATCGACGTTTTGACTGCGGGCAATGAACGCATGGCCGAGTTGAAGGAGCGGCAGGATATGGATGTCCAGATGTATCAGACACGCATACGCGAGCTACAAGACAAACTGCAGCAGCTGGAAAGCTGGGGTGAGGTTGCCAGCGCCGCTGCCACGCCCACAGCGCAGCCAAGCGACGAAGCAGCACTGGCCCGCATCGACAACCTGATGGCAGAAAACCAAGATCTAAATAGCGAATGCCAGGAGCTGATGGCCCAACTGCGACAGGAGAAGCAGCAGGCCCAACAGGAACGGGAGCAGCTGCAAGCGGAGCTTGATTCGCATAACCGAGAGGCAGAGCAACTTAAACAGCAGATGGAGCAGAATAAACAGAAGGCAGAGCAGTCTCAGCTGGAGTGCCAGCAGCTGCAGCAGCAAGTGGAGGAGCTAAGGGCCAAGCAGCTGGAGTGCCAGCAGCTGCAGCAGCAACTGGACGAGCTAAAGGCCAAGCAGCTGGAGTGCCAGCAGCTGCAGTTACAATTGGATGAGCTAAGGACCAAGCAGCTGGAGCTGCCGGTAGCAGTAAGTCCGCCCAGTGATGAGAGCATGGCGCTGCTTCAAGAAAAGGAATCCGAAATCGTCCATCTTAAGCAGCGCATCGAAGAGCTGATGCGGGAAGATCAAACCGAGAAACTGGTGCTAGAGATATTAACCAAGAATCAGGAGCTGCAGATGTTGCGCATGCAGGTCAAACAGTTGCAGGAGGACAAGCTCGAGCATCAGGAGAAACAGTCGGAGCAGGCGGATAGTCCAGTTGAGCCGAACCTGCAGCCCCAGCTGGAGCAACTGCGTCTGCAGTGCGAACATCTGCAGCAAGAGAAGAACGACATGGAGGAGGAACTGCGCGTGCTAAACAATCATGTGCTCAACAGCCTGGAGCTGGAGGACAAGATGAAGCAAACTGTATTGGAGTTGGATATGAAGACCATTGAGATAACCGAGCTACGTAGAACGCTTGAGTTGCTGCAGCAGGCGCAGGCGCAGCCACAGCCACAACAACCGCAGCAGCAGCAGCCAGATATCGCTGCCTTGAATAAGCAGTGGGAGGCGCTGGTGGAGCAAAAGTGCAGCGAAGTGGCCAGCATATGGCAGGAGCACCTAGCAAAGCGTGAGGCTGAATACAAGGCGCAAATCGAAGAACTTTCTGCAGCGGCTTCCGCATCCCAGTCAGAAACTGTGGAACAGAAGGAGCAGCAGCAACAGCCTCCACTGCCAGCCACGGATAACTTTAATGAGATGTTGACCAAGATGCAGAGCGCGCTCGAGACTCAAGAAATGGAAATTGTGACGCTAAAGGAGCAGCTGGCAATACGTTCCGCTGAATATGCGCGACTCGCCTCCCAATACGATCCCTTCCGGCTGCAGAATACGTTAGGCAGCGGCGTCTCAGCTGGGGCAAGCGGCACAGCCGGTCAGGATCCACAGTCGGAATATGTGCTGAAATCGGATCTGGATTACGCACTAATGATGTTGCATCAACGGGATATGCGGGTCGAAGAGATGATCGTTGAGCTGGTGCAGCTGCTCGAAGAGCGCGATCATCTCCAACTGAAGCTCTCTGATACGCTGCGCCAGCTGGAAGCCGAGCGCAGTAAGTGTGATCCATAGAAATAATACCTGCAATTCCACTTTAAACATATATGTATATTTCTTTAGCAGGTGGAGCAGCATTTGCTTCAGGCAGCGCCAATGCCACCGCCTCCTCATCCGCTGCCTCAAGTAGCCCCAACAAGCTGAGCAGCAGCGGCGAACTTGCCACGACGACATCTGCCAGCGGTAGCGATCTGAAGCAGAAGTAAGATCGCAGCTCAATTATTCTAGAGTATTCTTTGACTAACTTATTGTTGATTCACAGGTTGGCCGAGCTGCAAACGGTGAAGCATTCCAAGGACAAGGCGATTGTGGACGAACGCGAGCAACGTCTGCAGCAGATGATACAGCTACAACGAGACATGGCGAAAGCAACGCCGACTGCCGCATCAACTGCACCTTATCTTCCTTCTCCGCCATCTGCACACCAGCAGCAACCGTTACCACAGCAACAGCAGCAGCAACAGCAGCAGCAGCAGCTCGACGCGGATCTAAGTAAATGACTCGACATCTTTGCAGCGCTTGCTTAATATATTAATTTATTTATTTTTATTGTTCTAACAGCTCAATCCGCGCAACGTGGCCCTTATGGACTTATGGACTGGATATTAGGCAACAGCAAGAGCGAGGATGAGGCGCAGCAGACACCACATAATCTTCCCCAGTCTCCAATTCAGCAACAAACGTCGCATTCACCGCATTCATCCCCGAACAATTAGCAGTGGGCGAAGCCTCGTTGCCAGCGTTGCGCCTAGTTGACTATCTAGCACTTTGCTTACCAATAAATTTCGATTTAGATTAGCATTAGAGTTCTATATATATAAATTAATATGTTGCTGGTCCAGCGATGAACTAGGCGTCGGTGGCAGGTCCAGCGTTGATCGGGTATTTATAGTCTTAATCAATAAGTTGCTGGTCCAGCTATGAGCTAGGCGTCGGTGGCAGGTCCAGCGTTGATCGGGTAATTATAATCTTCTTATGATGATTATGTTGGAGGGTTTGACTTCACCCCCTTTTCTATTAACTGGCCTTGTGGCTCAGCAATGATCAGAAATATAACAATTTGATTACGGCGGTGTGCCGGAGTAGTGCGGGTTTATTCTTCAAACTTCAATGCAAAACTGATTTTTAGCTACATAGAATATTTCACTTAAGCTAAGCCAAAACTCGCATCACACCACAATGTCATGGTCGGCAAGCCGACTCAGCAATCTTAGGCAATAACGGAAACTCTTGCAGTAAACAAAAGTATCTGGTTACCGCCGCTGACCATTGCAGTTATAGCGCGCTGATACAAAGTATGCAGTGTCGCAATTGCGAGGGCTGTTTCTTAACTTACGAAACACGCGATAGCGAGGGTTGATTATAAACTTATGAAATACCCTATATTAAATGTTATGTGTTAACTACTCCCCCTTCAAGTGTAAGGCCGCCCTCGGCCGACCCAATTCCGGCGACGACTTCTCGTAATTGCTTCGCAGACTTCCTTGCGTCGATGAACCGCCAAAGGGTGAGGCCAATGCAGATTAAAGCACAGCATATACCTCCAATGATGAATGCCACACGATAAGCTTGATCAGTTCCGGCGTCTTTCTTGAATTGCTGTATCTCCTCCAAATTACGTTCATTTAAACGATGAAGATAAGGGAGGCTGAGGACATCTTGGCTGGCAGTGATGTTCAGCAAGGGAGAGTTGGCAATGCCCGGGACTCTATTGCGTACGTTGTTGTGGTTGTAAAACAGAGTCCCGTTGATCGCGACTCGGTCCCCGAACGTAATGAGATGCGTGCCGTGTACTTGGATTTCAGTGCCGTTATCCACCTGGATCCTTGCGGACCCGTCGTTAAGAATGATGATTCCATCATCTACGTGGGTGATTATTTCCAGGTTGCTCGGCTGGATTTCACAGTGTGCCGTGCCACCTGCATGGAGCTCTTTGGCACATGAACTCTCTAATGCCAGACGACAAAAGGTGGCTCCAGGTGAAGCGGTGCAACTCTGCAGTGTGTGGGTTTTTCCATCGCATTCGGCTATGACGTTGTCAGGCAATCGCAATATGAAATTCTTGTGAATGACAGGATAAATCGTAATTTTTCTGCAAGCTTGTTTAATCTTTGGGAATTTAATTATAAAATGTATAGTGTTAATGGATTGAAGGACTTTTACGGACGCAACGGACATAAGATCTCCTATGGGAGTGTTGGTGGGTTCCTCTAGCCAAATTGATTTCAAATCTGAGTGGTCCAAAATGTTTGGGCTAACAATGTTAGCCTTTGCAAGAGTAATAGCAAGCATTAAATTTTGCAACTCCATTACCAGCATTCTATTTCTAGACAATAGTGTCTCGAATAAATGGCTAGTGTCAACTTGTGAGTTTTTGGCTATCTTGAGAATCTTATTGACAGTGAATGTCAACTGGTTAAGCTGGTCTTGAACTCTAGTGTTTATTTCTATCTGTCTATTGTTGGCATTTACTAGCTGCCTTTCAGTAAATCTAGTCTGCTCTAAATCCCTGGCATCAGGTGTACCCGCCACAACCTTCAGTATGGACCCTAGGAAATCTAAACTTCTGGCGACTCTATGATGCGTGCCTAACGCCTCCAATAGGTCTTGTAGATGTACCGTGTCCACACTCAGAAGTTTTTTCATGTGGGATAGCGGGAACATGTCAATTAATTTGACCGTTTCTTCCACAATTCGCACGTATTCTGAGAGGTTTGCCGAGTGCCTAACGTAGGCGTATTCTTCCCATATCAAGATTTCGCCGTCGATGATGGGAATGTACTTGGCACGCGAGTAGTCGGTGACATGTGCCGAAGCCACTGATAAGAAAAGGAGTACTATGGATCCCAACCTGTGAAATAAGGTTGTTTCCTTTCTTTTTAGCAACCTTTTTTTTTTTAAAAGGTTTGCCCACCACCAAAAATGTTTAATAAAAACTATGCCAAGTGGCTAACAGTAAATTGAAAAACTATATCTAACTTATACAAGTTTGCCTAGTGGCTTAAAAATAAAAAAAAACAAGAGTCATCTTAGGTTGTCCTTGTGGACCACCCTCCCTCTAATGAGGACCTCGGTCCCCAGGTCTGCATCCACGGCCTTCTCATCACATAAAGGTGTGAGTTTGTTTCCGAGTCGTCGGTTGGACTTGACCAAAACTTTGTCACCAACGTCAAAGACCCTATTCTGCCGATTTGCGTTCTCCCTAGCTCTAAGCGTCATCTGAGCGTTTCTGATCTTTTCTTGTATTTTCTCTTGTGGCTCATCTGGTTGAGCCTGAACCACATCAACTGGTCTCTGGTCGATGACCGAATGGATCGACTTATTGTACTCAGTTGTAGCCAGTAAAATGACTTCTACCGTGTCACTTATGCCCTTATCGATCTTTAGGCATCTGGCTAGCTCCAAGAGAGTGCTGTGAAAGCGCTCAACCTGTCCATTCGAGATGCTATGCAATGGTGGTGCATTTGAAATGCTGACCCCATAGTTGTTTGCGAGCATAGTCACGATGGTCTCTGAGTTCAATGACGGTTCATTGTCACAGTAGATGGATCTGGCTTTTGGATAAAAATTCATCAGCTGCATTAACGCTGGCTTCAGATCCACGATGGTTCTTGAAGGGACCGGTTGGACAATAGCAAACTTAGAGAACTTGTCGATGCAAGTGAGAAAGTATTTCCTGTCAGTGGAGAAAATGTCTATGTGTAACATCTCTCCTACATGTGAGGGTATCGGAGTTTCCCCAATCTCTTGTTTTTTGGGGTGTCTATCGTATTTAGCCCTAGCACATGTTTTGCAATTTAGTACTATCTCATTGGCTATTTTTGCCATCTTTGGAAAGTAGTACTCCGAGAGTACCTGCTTAATATTCTCTTGTGCAGCCCTATGGGCCCTATTATGTTCGGCCGTGAGAATTTCCCTTCTTTCTCCAACTGCCAATACGTCCACTACGCGATTTTTGCAGTGCCAGAACTTTGTGGCCGGGTATCTTCGAACCAATGTATCTTGTATCATTGCAAGCGTGTGTAAATTACAGTGGAGAGCATTCACGCATTTGGGTGAAACTACATCTTCGAGCTCGTCTAGCAGCGATTCGACGCAAGTATAGTTGACCAAGTGGCGTTTCTTATTTCCAAAAAGAATAAAACTTCGTTTTAAGGGGAAACGCGCCTCTTCTATAACTATTTGGTTTTGAAAACAGTTCAAGGGCTTATCTGTTGTCTCGATGGTGTTGGTAAGTGATACCTCACTGTGGATCGTTGCTGCGCAGGACTCAATCTCTTGTTCATTTACAGCGTTGAGCTGTTGTCTTGACAAGGCATCCGCAACCAGATTGTCCTTGCCAGGTTTATAGAAGATACGTGCATTAGACTCGTCAATGCGCGCTTTCCACCTTTTGATCTTCGCATTTGGATTGGATTCCGAAACTGCGAAGGTCAAGGGTTGATGGTCAGTGAAGACATTAATGTCTTTCACCCCATACAAATAGTGCCTTAACTTGGCAAGTGACCATACGATGGCCAATAACTCTCTCTCATTTGTTGCATAGTTAACCTCGCTGTCCTTCAATGTTCTTGAAATCATTGTTATAGGACGACCCTCTTGTGACAAAACTGCACCTATGCCGTGAGCCGAAGCATCGGTCGTTAGATCGAATGGCTTCTTAAAATCGGGGTACCTAAGCATTACATTCTCGGATGACAAAATATCGCGCAATTTCTGAAACGCCCTTTGCTGCACTTCAGAGAATTGAACTTTTATATTTCTGGACCTATGTTTACTGACTGTTCCATTTTCACCCTTCAAGATATTCGAGATGGGTCTTGCTATAGCGGCGAAGTCCCTAATGAAACATCTGTAATAACTTGCGAGGCCTAGAAATGATCTGACCTCGAACAGTGTTTTAGGTTCTGGATACTCTTGTATTGCCCTAACCTTTTCGGGATCCGTCGTGGCGCCAGTGCTGGTGACTATGAAACCAAGAAAGTTCACGCTTTTCTTAAAAAAACGTGATTTTTCGACGGAGACCCTCATGTTTGCTTCAAATAAGCTTTTTAGGACCCAATCCACGTGTTTAATGTGGGATTCCTCATCTTCTGAAAAGATGATTACGTCATCGACATAAACATAGCAGAATTTGCCAATCTGCTCTCGCAGTATGTCGTCGATGGTTCTTTGGAAGATGCTTGCTGCATTCTTTAATCCAAAGGGGAGTCTTTTGAACTCGTATTTCCCCCCGTTCACAGAGAAAGCGGTTTTTTCACGGTCGCGTTCAGCGAGTATGATCTGGTGATATCCAGACTTGAGGTCTAATGTTGAAAAGAATTTGGCTCTTCCCAAATTCCCCAATATCATTGATATATTTGGTATAGGGTATTTGTCAGGCACGGTTCTTTCGTTAAGTTTACGAAAGTCCATTACCAACCTCATTTTCCTATTGCCTGCTTCATCAGTACCCTTCTTGTCTACTACCCATATTGGGTTATTGTAGGGAGAGACGGACTTTTGAATTATATCATTTTTTAGCAGATCTTTGATTTCTTTGTTAACGAAATCAGCTGCTCCCATTGGATATGGGTAAAGCTTGGCATAGATCGGTTGCTCATCTGTGGTCCTAATGGTAGCCACGACTGATGTGTTATACGGCAACGCCTCGTCTGGGTCCGCAAAGGCCTTTTGTCTAGCTTTTAGCATTTTCAAAAAAGAACTTCTAGCTAAAGGGGATGCCTCTGCACAGTCTACATTCGTGAAATTTACATTTTTGCACGTGTGGAAGGTGATTTGTTCGACCTCCGTACCCCACTTAAGTTGTCCTGAAGCTAGACAAAGCGAAGCAGCTGCCTGCTTTAGCAGGTCAAGGCCTACAATCCCATCAAAAGTTGATAAGTCCGGCAGAATAAAAAAGGTTGCCTTTAACCCAAACATTGAAACAAAGCATTTGTGTGTGATTTGTGTCTCGCCGTGAATGGAATGAATTTTAAAGGGGGACTCTACCGAGCGGACGCCTTTCAACCCCTCGTGTGGCCGAATGAAATTCTTGGCCGCGCCCGTGTCTATGAGGAATCGCATGTCAGTCCCTGCTACTCTTCGTCTGATGACGGGTAGCAGGGATTTGCTCCTAAAAAATTGAGGGCTTCAGAGTCATAACTATCGTCATTGATTTGTGCCGCTGCGCTAGAGGCGGCATCAGCATACGCCTCTGCCCCCTGTCCCACGTCTTGTGTGACGTGATTCAGCCTCTGCTGATTCCTCTGACCGCTTGTGCGGTCAGATGCGGGGTGCTTCCTATTCGCGTAAGCAGGGGCCTGAGTGGGCTGCAAGACCCTTGAGAAGGAAGGATCGACCTCCATGGGCACCGGTGCGCCATTATTATTGTGCTGCCTGCTGCTTCGTTGGTCAGACTGCACTGGGGCCCTGCTTTGCTTGCTAAAGTGCGGATTCTTTGTACCGCTAGCTTGTGTTTCGGCTTGTTGCGAATGCCTCTCCTGTTGGTGACCCTGTGCTTTTGCATGCGGCTTGCGCTCTTTGTCTTCTAGACTTTTTGCGAAGTTAGCCGCGAATGCGTACCTTTCATGGTTTGACTCGACTTCTTGTGCGAGAGCTAGTGCTGAAGGCAAATCTCTGGGCTTTGCTGCAAAGAGCACGTCTGTAAGACTGCGCTTGAGACCCGATATGAACACACGCAACGCATCGTCGCGGAATTTTTCACATAGGCCCTTTGCTAAAGCCGGCTCATATGACATGTTAACTTTGTTAGTGAGAAGAGCGAGTTTCTTCTCCACCTCATCGTAATATTGAAGCAGGGACAGGCCACCTTGCCTCAAGGTACCTAATTCCTGTTCAATGACATGAATTGGTCTCTTGTCACTGTATGTGAAATCTAGGCGATTTATTATCGCATCAAAATTCAGTACAGTACCAAATGAGGCCAGCACCGCGTCTGCGGGGCCCCTAATCTTGCTTCTTATAATGATGACAGCCTGATAATGACGAGAACTGCCATTATGTGGTCTGAAGATCTCGTAAGCGGCTAATGCTGCCTGCCTCCAAGATACATAAGATTCCTGTGCTCCTGCGAACTCAGGTAAGCACTTGACGGCATCTAGCGGCTCGTCACAGTGAATATCGTTTCTAATTTCTATAGCAGAATATGCTACTACTTGTGGGGTGGCAAAGCTTGTTGCTGCTATTTGTTTAGCTAACTCATTAATTCTTTGAGTCAATGCTTGCTCCCTCTGCTGGTTTGCAGCGGCCTGTTCGGCTAAGGCATTGCTGATGGCCGTTCTTACTACTTCCCTAAGCTGATCTGGATCCATTCTATCTGATGGTGGAGGAACTGCCGGTATAAGTCTTGTAGACGGAACTCTGATACGAGTGTCACAGTCGGAATCTGAGTCGCTAGATTGCTCGCGAGGGCTTCTATATTGGCTGAACCGTGGCATGCGCAGGCCAGTGGCCGCGAAAAATTAAACGGGCCGTCAAAAGATGGGTCGAATTAGACACATAGAAAGTAACACTAAGTATTTTTATCAGCCTAAATTCTCAGAGCAGCCACTCTCACGTATTTCAGAAACTTGGTTCTGATTATTATAATCTAATCTGTTGCAATACGAAATACTCACTAGTACTAACAAATTTTTTATAAAGTAAATTTAAGAAATTTTGTGTTTGAAAAAAAAATGTTGGCTGGAGTATCCACTTACATGATTTAAATTCCAAAAAAAAAAAAAAAAATTTTTTTTTTTTTTTTTTTTTTTTTTTTTTTTTTTACGTTGGGCGCCAATTAATATGTTGCTGGTCCAGCGATGAACTAGGCGTCGGTGGCAGGTCCAGCGTTGATCGGGTATTTATAGTCTTAATCAATAAGTTGCTGGTCCAGCTATGAGCTAGGCGTCGGTGGCAGGTCCAGCGTTGATCGGGTAATTATAATCTTCTTATGATGATTATGTTGGAGGGTTTGACTTCACCCCCTTTTCTATTAACTGGCCTTGTGGCTCAGCAATGATCAGAAATATAACAATTTGATTACGGCGGTGTGCCGGAGTAGTGCGGGTTTATTCTTCAAACTTCAATGCAAAACTGATTTTTAGCTACATAGAATATTTCACTTAAGCTAAGCCAAAACTCGCATCACACCACAATGTCATGGTCGGCAAGCCGACTCAGCAATCTTAGGCAATAACGGAAACTCTTGCAGTAAACAAAAGTATCTGGTTACCGCCGCTGACCATTGCAGTTATAGCGCGCTGATACAAAGTATGCAGTGTCGCAATTGCGAGGGCTGTTTCTTAACTTACGAAACACGCGATAGCGAGGGTTGATTATAAACTTATGAAATACCCTATATTAAATGTTATGTGTTAACTTATATATATTATGTACCTTGGATGAATGAAAACGAAGAAAACCCGAGAAACCGTTAAAAAAAAAAGCAAAAAAAAAGTAAAAACTATTCCCGAATTGTGTAGCCGCAGCGATGCATGGGACACGTCCACGTTTTATGTTGTAGATATGTAAAAATTGTATAAACAAATTGAACTAAACAATAATAGCAACAAAAACATTATTAAAACGAACGTAAATAATATTTAAATCAATATTCGTTTTTGGCTTTCCTTTTGGGTTTTGATTCGCTGCATATTTTGTTTTTGAATTGTGCTTGCAACTTGAGATGGCAAATGGTATTAATGCAGCTATCGATAATACGATTAATGCCAGTGTGTACACAATTTTGACATTGGTATTAATTAAAAACCTAACGGCTGGACAGGATAATTGCGCCACGATTTTAACAATTTTTATTGATTAGCCATGAACGAGTCGGGATATAGAAACAACCGTAAATACCGCTTGGCTGATATGCAGCCTACAATGACAAGCTTCAGTACCGTGGCACTTATCATAGCCAAATCTGAGCCAAATGTATTTCTGGACAAGATAAACAATGAGCAACGAGGCGTCATTAGCTTCACATTGCGCGACTCGAAACGCGACATAGCCAACTGCAAGTGCTGGGGCACCAGAGCGTGCGTGGATGAGTATGTAAACATGCTGCAAATAGGGGATGTGGTGGACATTATGAACGCCAAAGTGATGGCCTTATCGACCCCCCATGTGCTCGGCGCAATCGAGCAGCATCGCTATCAGCCACGTGGCACCCTTTCCTGTGCGCTGGTCGTGAACGAGGGTCAGGGCCATCTACTAAAGCACAGCATCGATGATACGGCTGTTGTGCAGCCATTACTCCAGCTAATACATCTATCCCACAAGCCACTGAGTGCCGTCTTAAAGCTCTCCGATGTGCGATGTGCTGCTCCAGGTGCGGAGCAACGTCCAGCTGTATATGTAGATCTGCTCGTAGTGGTTGCAACGGTGCGTCCGGTGCGGGAGCTGAAAAGGAAAGTGGCTCGCCTGGGCAACGGGCTGCTGCAGTGCCTCGAGCTGGTGGTGATCGATGACAGCTGTGCGGATGGCATGGTATTCACGCTCTGGCACAAAGATTGGATACGTCGCGCCCAACACTGGCAGCCACGCAAGACCATACTGCATCTAATAGACGTGCGTCTGTCGCACTCACAGTTCTATGGCTGCCCTGTGCTCAGCCACGCCAGCTGTACGCTAATCTATGAGCAGCCACAGCTACACAGCCCAGAATGCCAGGCACTGCTTGCATTTGCAGCCAGCACGCCGCTCAAAAGCTTTGATATGTTCGCGCAAATAGATATGGAGCAGCTGCCAGCAGGTGAGTAGCAGCAGCTGTTATTGATCCATTCAATAACCGTTTGATTTCTTCTTCCATCAGCCGATCACATCCAAACCCAGATGAGCGTGCGTCAGATCTATGAACGAGCCGAGGGCAACCTGCAGGATGTGACAACCGAACAGTTTACGGCTGTGCTCTATGGCATGGTCAGCAAGTTCGACATTGATGGCCTGGCCACGAGCATCAGCAAGAAGTGGTAAGCATTACCTGATTCTCTAACATCTTCGTACTGATCTGATTTACGCTCGTCTCCTCATTCAACCGCAGCAAGTCCTGCCAGCGACTCATACCAAGCAGCCGCAACGATTGCGACAATGAAAGCTGTCTGCTGGAGTTCTCTTTATGCTACAGCGGTCCACGCTTCGAGCACTTCTTCAACATCAACATCCATCTGTCTGATCAGACGGGCACGCTGATCGAGACGCGCCTGAGCGGCGGTATAGCAGAGCGTTTGCTGGGCTTGACAGCGGATGCCTTTCAGCTGCTGTCGGAGCGCAGGAAAACGGAGCTGAAATGGCGATTCCTCTTGAAATACTTTGAAGTGAAACTGCTAATCAGGAAGCCAGCGGCCATGCGCAAGGATCTGGCCGTGATAGTCGTGGATATGGAACTCATTCAGCTGGATAGGCTTATAGAGAAGATAACTGTTTTCTAAGCAACAGAGATCAAGCAATTATATCATACAATAACTCTAGACTAAGTGTTTTTTCAAATGAATTTTTGTGTCTTATTTTGACTAAACATACGAAGTTCTTTGAGCCCCAAAGGGTGCTAGATCTAATATACAACTAAATATACATATATATCCTATTCAACGTTATTATACATATCTTAAAATTGGTGATTAATATTTAAGATGCTATTTTTAAAGACAAAGATATCTTTAGCTGTTACTTAAGTAGACTTCACTAGTTAAATATTTCTAGAAATAAGTTATATGATAATAATTTATGAAATTTATCATTTAAAGTGAAATGAAACAATCTTATTTTAAGCTAAAAAGCATTTTCTTAACAAAGTAAAGAGCTGAGTCTTATAGCATTTAATTCACGAATCAATATTTGTAGTATATAAATTATAGTATATATCTCTATAAAGGAGGAGCTCTATAGCTTATAAAACAAAATTGAAAATGGAGTTGAGATCGAGGATATTTACCAGTCAAATAAGGTGGAGAATTAAGATCTGTAAATGAGTCAAAGCTAGAGATTAGAAGTTAGTGTTTGTAATAAATTTAGTTTAAGATTTGTAAATAAACGTTTTGAGAGAACAAACTACATAAATATTTAGCATCTTTATTTCGCTTGGGCCTGGGTTTCTTTGTTTTTTTGTTAGTTTGTTGTTAATATTGTTTACACATAAAACGTTGCAACTGCAATATACATAAATAGTTATACAATCCAATGACACAGAACAGTCGCCAGACTATTAGATATATATATATATATATAATGCTAATATTTGGTTTATCTAAAATTACATTTGCGGCTTAAACATTTAGTTTCGAGAAAATCAATTAAATTTCACATCGAATTTCATTTACAAACAATTACAATCGTATTTTATTTCATCTCATTTAGTAAATATTATTATTATTATTTATTTTTTGGTGCTGTTTACTTGCTAAGATCACAATAATTCGACTCCAGTTTAAATCAGAATGCGTCCTCGGCACCAAAAAATGTTCGATTTACGGATTTCATTTTAATAGGGGGGGGTACATTTCTTTCTTATAGTGGGGAATGTGATCTAAATGGAACAATTTGGTAACGCTTAATACTGAAGCTAATCAAACCAACAACACAAATAACTCTATAGAGTATTACTATGCACTGCACATATAACAGAACGCCTAACAAACTCAACAAAGGGGCCTAGAGGAAGGGCATTTAGCTGTGTGTTAAGTAGAGGGAATCAACTTTTGTACAGGTTCAGTTATTTGTTAATCCTAAAACACTCAACGTCCTACAATTTAAATAGAAAAGAAACAGGAAAGACTTAGCCATGCTGCAGAGCGAGCTGGCAATAGGGTTAGAAAGAGAACGCTAGAGAGCATGATAAAAGACAATCCAATTAAGAAACAAAAACAGTTTAAAGTTTAAAGTTTAAAGTTTAAAGTTTTAAAATGAAGCTCTACTTGGAGCCCGCAGCTGGATGATGATGATGATGTACATGGAGTAGATTATGATGCTGCTGCTGTTGCTGATGATGCAGATGCAGATGCTGCTGCTGCTGCTGCTGATGATGAGTAGAGCTTTGATGATACGGCGACTGCTGCGGCGGCTGATGATAATGCTCCTTTGGAGCTGGCACAGCTGCAGCTGCTGCTGATGCACTTGAGGAGGAGGTGGAGCTGGCAGCAAGATTCGTGCCATGGCTATTGTGACTATTGTTATAGCTAATGGGCAGAGCAGTGACGGCTGCCAGTGCTGCGGCAGCAGCGGTGGCAGCTGCTACACCAGCTGTGGCAGTGTTCAATTTGCTGCCACTGCCGCTCCCGCTGCTGCTGCTGCTATTTACCTTCAGCTGACGTATTTCGGGAAAGAACTCAATCATCAAAATTTCGAGAAGCTCCTGCAAGTGCAAACAAGGCAAATCAGTCAAAAATGCATGAATTTCCATATTCAATTGAACTCACATAGAACAGCTGCTTGTTGTACGTGGGATTCTGTAGAGCATCGAAGACTTTGAGGACACCACGCTTGGCCGCCTGGGCGCCCACCAGATTGCAGAGTACTTCGGGTATGTGATCCGTAAGCAACGCTTTGGCCGCATTGGTGGTCATCTCTTTCATATCCTCCGATCGGGGTGGATACGCCGAGGCGAGCACGCCTCCAGGCCAAAAGGATTTCAATATGGCCGAGAAGTAGTTGTGCAACATGGACTCCTCGAACAAATACGCCACGGACTCTCGTATCTGCCTATTGATCGTACGCCCATAGGTGATCTGGACAAATGAGATGATGCTCTTGCGCAACCATTTGAATACGCCGCCCATATCAAAAATTTCGCCCATTAGCGCATAGAGCGGCTCAGCAATGGAATCCTTGCTGTCCAAGTCAGCGAGAAGCTTCGCATCGCTGCTAGTCTCGCCATCCAGATAGTTCGACATGTCATCATCGTCGCGCTGTAGTCCCCAGAACGGATCGCTGGCTTTGCTCGACTCGTGCGCCTTGGCTGTGTCACTTTTAAAGAGCGTCGAGAGCGAGAATTTGGATTTCTTGGGCGAGGGCAGAGTCTGCTTCAAATGATCCGAGCTAGGGCTCAGAAATGTGTAGATGGCCTCGCTACCATTTAAATGGTCATCCTCTAAAATAAACTGCGAGTGAAAAGTATTAGCAATTGCAATTTGTATTCATTCATATCGACTCACATTCAAAAACTTTTGTATCTGGCCCTTGGCCTTCTCCTGGGCATGTCGATCCGTCTTCAAGAAGAAGAACTTAAAGTTCGTTGGCAAATCCAATGATTTCAAATTGGAGCTCACATGGCGCAGCTTGCGTTGCAGCTCCTATAAGAGATCAGCCATATTATCTTTGCTTTATATTTGGATTGTATAAGCTTACATGCACTTGGTTAAGGGAGCGCATAACCACCCAGCCACTAGAGATGCCTGATGGACGACGCCTTGGCGCTCTGCCTGTGCTGCTGTCTCCGTTCTTTGTAGCTGGCGGCGCATTTATATCCTCGTCCACATGCACCAGAATCATGAACTGCAGCGATTCTTTCTCATCGGAGACCTGAAACAAGCAGCAATATATGAAGCCTGTTACATAACTTTGTACAAAAGCATTTCATCCTAATATGATATATGCATCACTGCGCGCACCTCGACGCTCTGTATGGTTGCCTTCCACTTGCCGAGGTGTTCGGTCCAGGCATCCGTGCGCCTTAGATGTGCCTCGGTTTGTCTTTTCTCGCTTTTGAGCCAATCCATTTCCTTTTCGAGTATTTGCAAAACTTTAGACTCTGGCTTCACTGAGTATTTGAGCGCATCAAGCGCTTGGTTCTTTTTATCGATGCGCTCCTGAATCTGCTCGAGCTTCCGGCGCGCATACGAAGTGTGTGCAGCCACATCAATGGCAGCTGGAGCCATGCCACCGCCATTGTAGCCATCAGCAACGATAGGCTGCTCCTCGTCGTTCGCATCGCCGAGCAGAGTGGGGCACATGAGCAAGGTGGGATCGTTAAATTCGTTCGATTCGAGTGCCTCCTTTAGCTGGCGATACTGTTCGCTCAGCACAAACGGCGGATAGTATTTGTCCTCCAGGGTGCGCAATATATTGCGCTGTATATCATAGAATATATCTGGGCCTGCATCGCCCAGCACAAACGTTTCAATTAGCTTGCGTTCGTGCTTATCAATTTGTATCTCCGGCTTGGGCACTCGAATGTACGTATAGAAGATCTCTGTGCCCAGCTGATGGGTTGCTGATTTGTGCGCATGCTTCATTTCATCCACGGCCAGGTAGAAGCCAACCAGGGCGCTGGCCTTCAACGGCTCGAGGAACAGCGTAAAGAAGCGTCTGCCCACAGCCGTATTTAGTATTTCTATCAGGGTTAGATCCTATATATATATATATATAGAAAACATATTTAGCTTGCTTAAAATTTAGAGCAGGTTAACAGTTCACTTGCCGTATCGCTGGAGTAGTTGCCATTCCAGCCAAACTTTGCCAAATTCTTCTCGCACTGACCCTTTGCCACGGAGAGCTGCTGAACGTAACGTTTTAGCCGCACCGCGGCCGTCAGCTCCGATTTGGTCAGCGTATGATCCTCGGTATCCGGATCGAGTCCTTTGGCACGCTGCAAATTCTGCATACTAGTTGCATGCATCAGGTCGTTGACAATACTTTTGCGTATCAGCGACAGCTCCTCCAAGTTACCAGAATTATTTATGATCTTCAGGAAGTCCTCGAAGCTGGCTGCGTATTCGTAGCTACGTTTGCTTATTGCTGCTGCAGCTAGACGCGTCTCAATGTTCTGCACAATTTTCTGATTAATATAGTCTGGAGCAGTTAGCATCTTGATCATGGGAAAGAAAACTGCAGGGCGGAAAGTGAACGGCGTTACTTAAGATTTGCTAAAAGCCCTCGAACTTATTCTCTTACTCTTAAAGGAGAGCATCTCGCTTAGCAGCACTTTGAGCGGTGGTAAGGAGTAGCCGCGTGGCAGTAATAATATTACCATAATCTCGCACAGTTTTCGCAGAAACTCCATTTCCTTTTCCTCATCGACCAGGTACAGATTGGTGCTAAACACCGGCGCGTTATTCGTTTCCGCTCTGCAATGAAATAAATTCCAATTAGGAGGAGTCATAAACGCCTTCATAAAGTAAACCTACGCGCGAGCCTCAGCTATGCGTATCTTTTCGAGATGCACAGTGACCCGATTGACCATGTCCACGGCAATGATCTTAGCTGGATCCATTTTGGCGGCACGCTCATGGATCTTCTGTATGGCATTCCAGAGATCCTCGCGTATTACATCGTTAATGAGCTTTGGTTTTGTTACCACATAGCTGCCAAAGACAGTTGAAATTAGAAAAGGAATGGGATTGGATATTGGAGAGGAACCTACCCCAGCCAGGGCACCATAAAGTCGCGAAGCACATACTCAATGATCTGCTGGAGCTGCAGATCAACTGTCTTGCCAAAGACCAGGGGTAAATTCGATGGATTCTTAATAGGATTTGGCAAATCGAAGATGTTGCATCTGCAATCGAATAGAGCATATATCAGATAAAGATCGCCTTCTATGGATGCAACTTACTTGGTTGCATTGTAGAGCAGCTTAGAGGGCAGTCGATTGGGCTTTGTGGGCTCATTGGTCGTAAATATGTAATGTATATAGACGGTGCCAGCAACAGCTGTTGAAAGAATACAAGATAATTTTTTAATTACGGGGAATCTAACTCATATTGAAAGCTGATAAGAAATGAGTCAGGGTTATGGTTTCACGGTCTGATAATATGATAGCCATGGCGAATTATTGACTTACCTGCAAAGACAAGCACCAGGGAATAGATGACGAAGGCGAAGAACAAAAAGAACGTTGGATAATACCAAATAACGGCCAACAGCGTTGATACTATGCCCGATATTATAATCTTCCAGTTTACTTGCAGAGCACGTAGCGCGCTGAAAGCCAAAAATCGAAATTGAAATCGAAAAATGATGAGCGAGAGTGTGTGGGCAGGAAGCGCAGCCTATCTATAAATAATGATGACCGATAGACTCCACTCTACCTCTGCCTCCCTCACCCATCTCTAATCATTAGGCATTCATATTAGACACACACACACACATGTATGTAAAGTAAAGGATACACACACGACGACACGCATTTGAAATTGATGCAGCGTCTTCACTTACCGCGTTGCCAGCTGTGTCAGCCGCTGTGTAGGCGTTATTGGCGGCTCGGGTTCAATGGGAAACAATGGGCGGCGTCTCTCCATAGCTGCCAGCTGTTTCACTCCTTAGATGTATGAGTGTTTGTGTGTGAGTGTGTGCTGGGCTAGTGGCTTACAATTGCTGTTATTATTGCTGTTGCTGCTTCTGCTTTGTATTTGAATATTTTATGCGTTGTGTACATTTTTGACGCGTTGCTTTTTGCTTAGTTTGTCGCTTTTGTCATGTCCTCCATGTGTCTGGCCACTATTAAAAATAGTTCTCTATAACCACTTCCGCCACCCCCTCGCCCCACGCCCCACGCCACACGCCTCGCGCTCAACGCCCTCTGCTCTCTGCCCTTGCGTTCAATATTCGAAAAATGACGTCGTCGTCGTTGTCGCACTTAAATTTGATCTTGGATTGAGCTCAGGGATCAGAGAGCATCCGTACTGCGTTTATCGCAACAAGTTGATATTGATAACTGTCGAAGGGGGCGGCGCGCTTTACGATAAGAGTGATAAGAGCGGCACAACGATTGCTGCCTGCAGCTCTGCTTCCATAAAATCGTTGCGGCTACTGCTGTATTGTTGCTACTGTTGCTGTTGTTGCTTCAGTTGGCCGTGCTGCGTAGATAATAACGAATTGGAATTTGAGTTGGCGCGTTTGTAGTTGGTTAAGCGACGTCGCTGTAATTATTCATCACGCGGTGGCACTCACTTCCACTTTCAATCACAATCACAAATACAATAAATGCAAAATCAAAGTTTCCAACTGTGTTGGTGCCATTGGATTTGTTGATTTCATATCGATAGCGATATGGATTATGTATAGCAGGCTCAATTCGATGACAAATCGACCGGCCGCCACGCGGAACACCAGCAACCGATAAGTGCTGCCGATTTCAAACAAAAATAGACCGTTAGTTTTAAGTTTCCAATTTATTTTTAGTGAAAAACTAACAATACTTAATTGAATTTGAAAACATTTGAATTATTGGTATTGGTACAAGTTTGCTTTTGTTCTAATATATATATGTCTATATATAAATGGCGGCACATATGGCAGGCATAATTTTTCATTTATTTGTATGCCTTCCCTCCCCGAGTGTCTCGAGTCCTTTCTGTTTTTCCCCCATCCTTAACCCAATTAACCATTTGTAGATTCGTAATGGCATTTAAGTTTGCTTTTTGTTTTTGGTTTTTCTTTTTTGGATATGATTATTTGGAAATGAATTGCTTCTATCGCTCCTTAGCGAGGCGACGCAAAGCTCGCTTCCGTGTACCTAAAATATTTTTAAGAACTTCGTTTCTAGCAAACTGATCACCGAAAACAGCCTCTGTAAAATGTATGACCAGTTGAAGCAGTGCGTGGGGTAAATATCCAGCAGTTTGTGTGGCAATGCCAAGTGTCGCCAAAGCAGATTTTACATACGTTTCTGGCGTGGGCGCAAACACGCTCGCCTTACTTATCTTCGACATGTTGGTGGCCACAAATCCAGGTTGGACACTCTGTATTATGATACCATCCGTTTTATACTCAGTCTGCAGATCATCACTGAACTTGTTCACAAAGGCCTGCACAACATAATTAGATAAAGCGGTTAGAAATCATATTTCGACCAAATTCATCAAGGAATTCATGACTTACCTTTGTGGCGCTGTAGACGCTGAGCAAGGGATTGGGTATTACACCTGCTGTAGAAGATAAATTGATAATCACACCCTTGCGCTTCTGCACCATGCCTGGCATGAAAATGGCAGTCATGTGGGTCACGGAATGTATGTTCGCTGCAACAATGTTGCACAGAAACTTCGGATCCGCATTGTAGCAGTCCAAAAAGTACTCGGGATAGCTATAGCTGATGCCCACATTGTTCACCAGGACACCCACATCCAGACCAGCTGTCTGTGTACGTATCTTCTCATAGATATCCACGCCGCTGGTAAAATCGACATTGATGACGCGCACCTCGACGTCGAACTCATCGCCTGCAAGTATGCCACAGAATTGAGTTTATAAGCCAGGCTTAATCAGTTAGCATGCATTTCTTACCAATTTTCTTGGCGACAGTTTTCAGTTTGTCCAAGGATCGTGAAATCAATACCAATTTTAAGCCCTTTCGCGCCAACTAGAAAATATTTATCCAATTGGATGTATCAGTTGGCTGATAGTATGAAATGGTCTTATATCAGATATTTAGATGCTAATGCTAAGACGAGCTTATCTCTGTCCGTCTGTCTTGCGTCTATGTTAATGCAGACATTTCTATGTGTCACATAATCTAAAAGTAAATGTTGTATGCCCTCTGTAACTATAAATATTTTAGGTACACCATAAAATCGAACAGCAAACGGTATTTCCTTATCAACAGTCTGTTAATGACAGTTAAATGGATGATAATAATTGATTATATCGAGCATTTCCTAATAACATTTTCAGGTAAAACTATAAGCAGGTCGCGACTATGTACATATACGCATATAACTAATTGAAATACAAAGCGGAACTTCTGACGACCCCACGGAGTCAGGTATGCATACGAGTATAAGAGTATAGACGAAAATTAAATAGAATTTAATGGGTATATCGAATGCTAATTACATCGAAAGGGAAACATAAACCGCAGATGTAGCACAACTGAACCTTAGCAGGCGATCGTTAAATCATGTGTGAACAAAACGTCAACAAGTGCCGCGACTCTATTTTTGGTACGTTCCAAAGTTCTGGACATAGCAAACAAACCGATTCCGATTCCGATTGGCGTGTTGACACCTGCAACTGAACCACAACATCAGCTGAATGCTGAATATTGGATATTGGATATTGAATATTGAATAGTGCAGTATAAACAGCTGCAGGGCTTAAGCATACAGAAAACAAAAACTCTCGAAAAGTATTTGCTCAGATCTGTCACCTGTGATCGCACTTAGCTGCTTAATGGAAAATTAGCACTTGACGAAATTGCAACAGAGTGCATTAGCGTATGGAAAACCAGAGAATCTGTAGCCTATAGTCTATAGAACTCAGAGCTGAGTCATGCTTGTGATGTTTAAGCCCTAGCCTAGACTAGCTCAGCCTAGCCTCAATATTCAACTGGCAAAACGTTAATTGCACTTTTTTCCTTCTCTCTATAAAGATTTTTTATTATATATATATATATAACTTTTTGGTCCAATTGGTCAAGTCATCGTGTACTTTGTAATGTAAAAGCCTAATAAAGCAAGCTACAAATGGCATATTCGTTGCTAAATGCCCTATCAAATATATCCATAGAGTTACACTTGGTATAGAAATGCTTTTAGCAATACTACCAATCGAATGTTCTTATACCTATGTTCAGTAGAGCATAGTTCAATGTGTTTTACTGTTATATTAGAATAATAAACTTATTAGTGGCGATTGATATCGATACTAATGAAACGAAGTTAACTTAATTATGCGTCAGACCATATATGTTAAATTGAATAGGGATATATATATATATATATATATATATATATATATATATATATATATATATATATATATATATATATATATATATATATATATATATATTATGCTTTTTTTAGCATGACATAATGCTAGACTATATCGAACTATAACAAATCAAACTCTATAGCTGAACGTTCTATAATACTGAAATATCAATTCCAACTAGAATCTAGTTCAAAGCAGCCAGAATGTATCCATCGCTTGCGTACATACCTCCCTGGCGTAGGCCTTGCCTATACCATCCGTGGAGCCGGTGACAACTGCAAGAGACGAAATAAAATATTAACAAGTTGAGTAATGGTCAAACGCTTATCAGTTTGTGTGAACTATGCTTATCGCGTGGTGCACAAAGTGCAAATGGCAGCCGCCTGAATGTATGCCACTTACCTGCCCATTCGCCCATCTCGGCCAGATTCACCGAGGAGCCGCACAGCCTGGGGCCCACCACATTTGCATAAATCCAGGGCAAGACTTTACGGCAGATCTGAAAGCCGACAATGCTCATGGCAATGCCGCCCAAAATGCTTAAAACACGCGAATGCTCCTCCATTTCAATTCTAAGTTTTTAAAGTTTCCAATAAACAAAATTAGAAATTATAGTAGTAGTAGAAGAGGAAGAACAGCCGCTGCGCTTGCTGTGTTGCTGTCGTCGCGGACTCCGTTTGCTGCCTGAAAACAGTCGCTGGGTGGAGGAAGCTCAGTCGATTTGCTGCCGCGATAAGCAGCGCTGCCTGCGTTGCTGTGTATATGATGGGTTACTATAAGCTACGCGCGCCGTGCTGCTTTGTTCTGCCCTCTCCGGCAGAGTTCGTCAATTGAATTTTATAAATTCACTGAATGTCTGGCATTAAATTTACTGCGTGGCTGCTTGATATTCAAAGCAGTTTCGCGCACGTTTCCAATCTGCATAAAAAGAATAATTTTCTTTTTGGTTAGCCTCTGCCTTAATGACGGGCAGCGAAATATCTTATTGAAAATTTGAAGAAATTACTGCATGAATGTCAACGATGACGCGGAAAATGAAATGAACGGTTATTTTTGCCGACTGAGCATAATTGTTTGTGTGTGTGTGAGTGAGTGCAAGTACGAGTGCGAGTGCGAGTGCGAGCTCTCGGCTGCGATTCGTGCTCTCACGATTTTTGGCTCGCCATATCGCGCCACCACTAAAATACAGTAACCGATAAGGGACACATGTGCTCACACACATACACACTTACGCACATGCAGCTATGCTTGCTCTCTCACTGAAATTGCACATGCGCAGGAAGCAGCTACAAATCAAATAAAAACATACCGATGACGATTATTCCTTAGGCGCGCTAAACTGTGATTTTGATGTTGTCTGTCTATGTTTGTTTTCTGGCCGAATTTCGACATACACTTATCGAACGAATTTGAATTCTAATTTATTTGCGTAACAGCGAATCCTATACCGCCTTAGCTTCACAACGAAACAGCCCGCTAGATGGCGCAGCAATTGGTGTTGCATATGCTATGCTTGGTTTTAGCTTAAATTTTGGTATGCAATTATCGAGTGGATTTTTATGTAGTTGTTTGTGTTTTAAATTTTTTTTTCGTAATAAACAAGCAAAACGTCCTCGATTAAATGTTTATGTCTGGCAACAAAACGGCACACTAGATGGCTTAATTGTAAATAATAAGTATAACATACTTTTAAGCTGTCAACAAATGAATATGATAAAAGCTGAATATATATATGTAAAATCTTGAAAAGATACGATGAAATAATAATTGATAGTAATTTAATATAATACCTTTATGTTCATTTGAGCAGTCTGGCAACTCTGTGTAGTTGGCGCCACAGCAGCCCCAATAGCGTAATGTATGCTAAAATCTTCTGCCTAAAGATAAAAAGCAATAAATAGAGAGAAAGAGAGAGAGAGTGAGGAAACAATTGGCAGGACGCATAATTGGCAAACGGAATCCCGAATCCTTTGCTCCTGCAGTCTCGTGTCAACTGCGTGCGAACCAACAACGTTGTCTCGGCGGGACTGGCGATTGCAACATGGGCATAGATTCTATTATGATATCATTAAAAGTGAGCAATGCCAAGCTGCAAATATGAAAACTAAAACGCATTTGTTTTTTAAGAGAAGTCAGTTTGTATAAGCAAAAGAATATTTATTTTAAGTGATATTTTGATGCTGAGTGTCGTTGCTAATAAGATTTAATTGATATAAAATGTGTGCACACGCATTGCTTAAATCCAATAAGAAATGTCTCATATCGAAATCTTTAGAGCTCATTAAACGTTCTCTGATTGGAGTCGATTAGCTCACATAAAAGAGCAAAGCAGTGCAGGACAGTGGAGAGAGAGAGAGAGGAGAGCAGAGCAGAGCAGAGTATTGTGGCATGCGCATATCGCAACTACATTCAAATTATTGGTCATCTAAGCAGCATCCAAATAGCGCTCAACAAAAAAAAAACCAGGAGAAAAAAAATATTGAAATAGCAAAAGAAAAATACAAACTTAAATTAAAATCAAGACACAATACACACACTCTCACACACAGACAGAGGAAGTCTGCAGCTAATAAAAAAACACTTTCTTCTCATCTTGCATAGTGAAAAGGAGAGAATCAATCCATGCAGCTCCACTCACGCAAATCGCATATGTTAAGCAGCAGACAGTAAAGGATACGAGCTCACAAATAACTACAAACTGCGTTGAGAAACTATAAAAAAAGGAAAGAAGCAAAGAGGAGGCGAAACGAAGAGGAAAGCAAAGGCAAAAGCGTGTCAGGAAGATGTCTCTGATTAGATAAAACGCAAATTAAATATTCTTATTGGATTCGAGTACATTTGTTGTATGTGCATATGCTTAGGTGAGTTAAACACGGCGACCGACATAGAAGACATATATATGTGCGTGTGTGTATATATGTATGTTTATGCTATTTTGATTTTCTCTTTATGACAGTGATGAAATCTAGATTATTTTGGATAATTGCAATTATATATTCATCGGTACATCACATAGGCTCCGGTTCTACATCGACGACATGTAAGTAGTAGAGCTAAGTTTATGAAATTTAGGGAAATACGTCGGTATAAATTAGACTATATTTATATATCTACATATATATATATATACCTATATATACCTCATAAGAAGCTACATGCCAAAGTTGAAGTGCGTAGCTCTTGTAGTTCTCGAGTTATGCAAAAAAAACGAGTTATATTATCGATTTTTATCGATCTGTTGCCTGCTGCCTGTTGCGTGCATATATACACATATACACTTTGCTTTCGCGTGCAGTGAAACGTCCACGAGCTGGAGACCCGTTTGATACGTTTCCGAAAAACTTCTGGCAAGAGTTCTCGTCGCCCTTCACAGACACGCCCGAAGATGAGGAGCTGGAGGTTACGGAGACGACAACACACGAGCCATTCCCCTTCTTCGCCGATCCGTATACGACAATTAATATAAGCACCCAGCTCTCCTCGAATGTCTATCTGCACTGTCGCGTCAACGATCTGCAGGGCAAGACGGTGTCATGGATGCGGCGCAAGGGCGAGGACCTGACGCTGATCACCTTTGGCCAGCACACCTACAGTGGCGATTCGCGCTACTCGCTGGAGTTCGAGGAGCCTAACGATTGGAAGCTATTGATACAGTATGCCAACGAGCGGGACGAGGGGCCCTACGAGTGCCAAGTGTCCTCGCACCCACCGTTGGTGCTCCTCGTTTACCTAACTATAATTGGTAAGTCCCAAACGGATGTCCACATCCATGTGCAATGGTATCACGACTGTCCCATTGCAGTTCCTCATGTGGAAATTCTCGACGAGCGAGGATCGGCCACGCCGGAGAAATATTACAAGGCTGGCAGCACCATCGAGTTGCAGTGCGTCATCTCAAGAATACCGCATCCATCGTCCTACATCACCTGGCGCCACGGACAGCGCTCGCTCAACTACGATACCAGTCGAGGCGGCATTAGGTAGGTCTAGATCGCAGCCAAATCTGCCTTCTGAACTATATATATATATATATATGATGACATGATATGCATGCGTTTCATCTCTCTCAACTTAGCGTTAAGACAGACATGCTGCCCGGCAGGGCCTTGAGTCGTCTTTATATAGCCAACGCGAATCGCCAGGACACGGGCAACTACACCTGCTTGCTGGGCAATGAGATAACGGAAACTGTTGTAGTGCATGTGCTTAACGGTAAGTCGGAAGTGAAGACAACGGCGAGAGTTGACTGCATGTCAAATTTGATCGCCAAGTTAAATCTAGTTGTCAAGACTATGATGGAATCTAGACATGCAGTTAAGATAGAGCTGCATTACAATTTAACTGCATGTCAACATTTAACAAGCAGCTTATGCAGTTGTCAGAGCAGAGATGTTGTCCATGTCAAACTGCATGTCAAAGAAGGCTATAGAAAAATGTTGACTTAGGCTAAGGCTGGAGCTTCTCTATATTCAAAGTGCACTTCAAAATTTAACTAGCAGTTTAGCCACTTGACAAGTATATGTTAAAGTTGATCAGTCGGTTAAATTGGTTGTCAATGCTGCGAAACAATGTTAACGCGTAGTTAAGATCGAGCTTCATTCCATTTCAAGTCCATGTCAATATTTAACTAGCAGTTAAGGATATACTATTAGGGCTGCCAAATAGTTAAAGTAATGCTCAATTACATTTAAACTGCATGTCAAAGTCAATGTCATTGATCACCGAACAGTGTTGGTAAACAGCAAGAAGCCTTAAGCTTTGTCGGACAGACTTAGAGATATATCTTTATATATTTGATTCTGATTTGCTTTCAGGTGAGGAGCCAGCTGCCATGCAACATGCGAACGGGACTCGCTTCATGTCCAGCCCCCTAACTATGGTTGTGTTTTTTATAGTATTCGCTCTAGTCAAGCCCTTTCAGCGATGACAACATTCTGACTAGGCAGACAGAACAAGTGGAAAATGAGAAAATGCAAAAAAAAAAATATTGAAAATAATGAAAATAATGAAAACGAATCGAAACAGAAAACGAAAAACTAAGAATCTTGTCCAGGATTGCATTTTCAACTTTTACTCTAATCAATGGGTTGTTTAAACGTACATAGCATAAATGAATAATCTAATTGTAAGTCTAAGCGATGTATTTAATGTCAAGAACTAGCGAAATGCTGCGGGGCAGACGCAGCACACGGATCGTATCTAAGGGCGTACGCAAATGCGGAAAGCGAAAATTCGGAATTTTAAACAAATTTGAGAACTACAAAAATTTCAATTTGCAAAGTGAAATTTATGAATTGTGGCCGTGTTTCTTTGCGTTGGCTATACGATATATGCCAGATAAATATATATATATATATGTATATTGCTAGATTCAAGCATTTTCAGACATACCCAACACCAACACCACCCCCAGCCCCACCCCTATCCGCACCCGCGCCACCCACTCTTTCGTTAAACATGTATATAATGCTTGAGGTGAATGGTTGTAGCTTCTTGAAATCGAACGGCATATCAGTTGGGATCATTGGAACATTCTTGGATGCAATTAGTTTTAAACATAGAGTGAGATAAAGAAGAGGAACAACAACAACAACATAACAAAATTCACTTAGTTTCCGCTAAATGTTAACAAATTCTGTTCAAAAATATAGGAGAGTGAGAGAGAGAGAGAGAGAGGGGAGACAAGTTGGAATTGTTAAGTTTTTAAGTTTCTGAAAGATATAGCACATAAAACTAATCAATATATAACATATATGAGTAGAGGTTACCCCAGATATTTACAAATCATAATAATAATAATAATAACTAATTAATTAATTAATTAATTAACTCCATTCCAAATGGATACATATCTTTTTGATTTGATTGGCTTGGCTTGGCTTGGCTTGCGGCACCAATTGATGAAATTTCGACCAGACTTTATGTAGTTGCTCTGTTGGCAGATCGTACTATATATATATACACATATATATATATGCATCGAGAGTTAACACGGACCAATGGGTAATACAGAGTTATTATTTTTCTTTTTCGAATCTCATTTGGATTCCCTCCCCTGTTCCCGCCCCAAATAGACCCACACCAGACCCTTTCTCATGTTTCATAGTATATAGGGTATATATAATATTTCTAATATGCTTGGCCGCTTTTTTCACACTCGCTTGCATCTTAAGTCATTCACAACTATATACATCTATATATGATAAATGATATATAGATATATATATATATATATATATATATACCTAGTGCACCTATTTCTTAACTTCTTTCCCAACAAATAAAAATACATATAAAAATCAAATTAAAGCCCAGCTTAAACACAACAAACACAATTAAATTATAAGAATTAAGAAAAACGTAAAAAAGTACATAAAATAAGAACAAAATTTGGCTAATTTCGAAAAGGTCCAGAGTAGTTAATGTAAAATATTGAATTCTATTGATGCCAACCGATCCGCTGGTTGGCTTATTATTATTATTACAAAATATTATTATGATTATTATGATTATTATTATGGTGTATGCCCTTAAATACAAAACAAAAATGTTGGAGTGAGATAACGAAACAATACTTAGAGACTAAAGAAAAGTGACGAAAACTTTTAGAAGAATTTTGGTTACAGACAAAAACAAAAACCAAAAAAAAAAAACAAGCAAAATATTTAAGAATTATTACAAAATTGATATTATATAATAACAACATAAAAATATTTATGTATGCGGGCAATGTCAATGTCAATGTCAAATGCCGTCATTAATAGTAATATAATGCAGAATTGTATAATACACACGAATCCATACACAACTTCTCACACACACACACGTACACAAACACTTGTTTTTTTCTATTAAAAAAAAGAAAATCTAAAATCTATTTGTGTAGTTTTTATTTTCAATAGCAAATAGAACGCAGAAACTCAAAATAAAGTATCATTAACAATTATTCGCAAAGGGCTTTGTGTAAGTTTTTGAATTTCATTTAGTCGTTAAAAATTCATAAATGATATCGATACATTTCTGCTTACGTTTGTTAGAGCTAAAATTTTAATATTGAAACCGCCAGATGTCGCATTTACGAGAATTTTAGTGCGTAGAAGTATATCGATATTTGGAATATATCTATAATTTATATTAAATTGTCATAAAAGTTAGTGAAGCATGTAAGTATATAATAAATTGTTTTTTATTTATTTAAATATTGTTTTTTTTTTGCATGTAAGTACTTAAACTGACATGGCAATTAAATATATTGAAATTTTAACTTTACAACATCGATAAGTTTGTTCTTACATTTTACAACACTGCAATACCTTTTCGCATGCTGCCGCCTGCACGCTGCACGCATTTTGTTTTATTCCGACAAGCAAAATGAGCCAAGCTAAGGAATTGCTGCAGTTCCATGAACTGGAGCTAGACCAACGCATTCTAAAGGTAAGCAACTATTGTATATAACTAACTGTTGCTCCATATTTAACCACAATTCCCCTTCGCAAACAGGCAATTGCGCAGTTGGGATGGGTGCAGCCAACGCTGATCCAATCGACGGCCATTCCGTTGTTGCTCGAGGGCAAGGATGTGGTAGTGCGTGCACGCACTGGGTCCGGAAAGACGGCTACCTATGCGCTGCCACTCATCCAGAAGATACTTAACTCCAAGCTAAATTCCAGCGAACAATGTGTCAGTGCATTGATTCTCTGTCCCACCAAAGAGCTGTGCCGGCAATCACGGCAGGTGATCGAACAGTTGTCCGACTCATGTGGCAAGGTGGTACGTGTAACAGACATTGCCGGAAGCTCCAATGATGTGGCCACCCAACGACATGCGCTCGCCGAACGGCCAGACATTGTTGTTGCGACGCCCTCAAAGATATTGGCCCATGCAGATGTACTCGACTTGAAGAACATAGAAACCTTGGTTGTGGATGAGGCAGATCTAATCTTTGCCTTTGGCTATGAGAAAGACTTTAAAAAGCTAATTAAACTCTTGCCACCCATTTACCAAGCAGTGCTCGTCTCGGCCACCATTTCCGATGATGTGGCTCGCATGAAAGGTCTCTGCCTGCACAATGCAGTTACGTTGAAGCTAGAGGAACCCGATCTGGTGTCCCTCGATCAGCTCAGCCATCAGCGCATTTTAGCCGAGGAGAACGACAAGCCAGCCATATTGTATGCGCTGTTAAAGCTAACGCTTATACAGGGCAAGAGCATTATCTTTGTGAACAATGTGGATCGCTGTTATAAGTAAGTGAAGCTGGTAAACAACAGCAGCAACATCTCGAGCCGATGATGAAATCAAACTTCAATTTGGGATTGCGCAATTGGTAACAATTGGCGCACGCATGACCATTGACTAATCTTCTCTCTGATGGCTCTCTACAGTCTATTGCAAATGAGAATCTATTCAATGTTTTTACTATAGCTATACTCCTTTTTTGCTAGGGTACGTTTGTTTCTGGAACAGTTCGGCATACGCTCTTGTGTTCTCAATTCAGAGCTGCCAGCCAATATACGCATACATACGATAAGTCAGTTTAATCGTGGCATCTACGACATCATCATTGCATCGGATGAGCATTTGCTGGAGAAGCCAGCGGGCAAGACGAAAAACAAAAACGGACAGCACAAACACGATCATGAGTCGAGCGCATCGCGTGGCATCGACTTCCAGGGCGTTAATAATGTTATCAATTTTGATTTTCCACGAGATGTTACTTCGTATATACATCGAGCTGGTCGCACGGCGCGTGGCAATAATAAAGGATCTGTATTGTCCTTCGTCAGCATCAAGGAAGCGCCTATCAATCAAGCAGTAGAGGAGAAACTACGCCAATCACTGGGCAAGCAGCCGCATCTGACAGTTGATGCACTATCAGATCATCCACAGAAGCCAACAGGAGAGGATATCATCAAGTAAATGCTGCAGCAGTAGAGCAGCTCGCCTTTCATGTCGTATACTTATCCAATACTTCTCATTTTAGACTTTACCAATTCAAGCTGGAGGAAGTGGAGGCGTTTCGTTATCGAGCACAGGATTGTTGGCGTGCTGCCACACGCGTTGCTGTCCACGATACCCGCATTAGGGAGATCAAAACTGAAATACTAAATTGTGAGAAACTTAAAGGTTTCTTCGAGGAGAACAAGCGCGATCTCCTGGCGCTGCGGCATGACAAACCTTCGCGTACCCTTAAAGTACAATCGCATCTCTCCCATGTGCCCGAATACATACTGCCTAGCGCATTGAAACGCGTTGCCCTAAATCGCAGCCAAACACAACCAGCAGCCAAGCAGGCGCGCATAACTGGCGCCAAGACTGCCTATCAGCGACAGAGCAATGATCCTTTGATGGTCAGCGAGGTGGACTATGGCAAGAGACGCAACACGCCGAAGCGAAAAAAAGCCTTTTAAAATTTAATAGACACTTTTGTTTTTAGCCTTAAGAATACCTCTGTGTAGTGCCTAAGCGTAACATTTTCTATGCGAGCTGTGAACCGTATGGAATAGAGAACTAGCCCGTATTTCTTGAACTAAATACAATTACAAGTACAAGTACATTTGACAGTGTGTATAAATGTTAATAAATTGTTGATGTTTACATTTGGCTATGTATATGCTATACCTATATAGATAAGACGTCTTTCCTTTCTGACCTCAAGGAAAATGCGTAATTATGTATTTAGGAAGAGCTGTTGACATCGCCGTCTATAAGCCAATACATCCAATTGAAACTGTTATATAGTATAACAAAGTAAATTACAACATTATTTGTTTCTTTCTAATCGACGCTGAAAGCACATGCATCAAAGCGGCACAGGTTTGGGGTGAACCAAGTAAGCGAAGGCAAGGCAGCTTGAACATTTGATGGAACGGATAATTTATACTGACATTAACTTTTTAAACTAGGTTCGTAACAAACAAATGTCCATCACTCAAAGTCCAAATGAAATAAAACTATTTGGTTTTAACATTTTATTATTGTCATTGAAATAGTTAACATTCATACATTATTGACTTTGCGGATTGATTTATTAACTTTTCATTAGTTACTTTTTTGTTTTGTCGTAAATATATATTGAAATACCTCATATATCAAGTTAAGGGTGCGTACATACACATTGACATATAGTATGTATAAATAGAATATGTGAACGTTTCGTTTAGACGCAATAACATTCAGCTAATTGGTGATAGATAAACGATAGGCGCACTGAAAACAATGGAACTAGCGGTGTTTGTGTGTGTGTGTACGAAGCAGTAATGGGCATATATCTATATATATATAGAAATTTTTTCCTGAATTAAAGTTACGATGAAATTAAGCATAAATATATTTTGTTTAATTAAATTTCCGTAAATTCCTGGTTGGCAAACATATATATAAAGCACAGATATATATATATATATAAAACAAATAACGATCACACAATATCGAGGACAAATTGAATTAGAATTTATCGTGAAATTAGTCTAAAATGCAGGCATATGTATACATATATTATGTATACATAGTCCATATATATATGTAAATGTGTATTATGTGTTGGTTTTCTTTCACTGTTTGCTTAAGTGTTTTTTTAATACGCACTAGATAAATTTTACATTCATAGTTTGGTTTTCGGCATTTTATTACATTTTCTTTTATTTTATTTAATATATTTTACTTTTAATTTAACACACGCATAACTTGATAAATGTTACAACAAGACATACAAATATTTTAATGACAATCTTTAAATATATATGGATATATAAATAAATATATATCTATATATATATACTGAGACAAATATTAATACATAGACATATATGTATGTATGTATATATATAATGTAGCATATGCAAATCCTTTTCCTTTCCTTTACTTGTTATATGCGTTTTTAGGTTTATATACATACATATATATGCATATACATTTATATATAGGCACATATATAAAATGTATACATATGCGTTAAAAACATGTCGTATATAAAATTTATAAGCCTTCACATTTCGTAGATCTTCCGCTCATGCTTTTGCTTTCGCCTTTCTTTTTGCTTTTCATATATACTCCCACTAACTCATGTATATATATACTCACACACACACACACACAGATATATCTAGATATATATCTATATATATTTGCCGATTTACATATGCTTTAGTGACCTAACGAGAGAACATTCAGAATATAAAAACGAACAATTTAAAAGAAATTAAACTACTCCGTTTCAAAGTGAGTGTATGTTTGTGTATGTTATGTGTGTGTGTTTGTGAGTGTGTGTTTGTGTGTGTGTTTGTGTGTGTGTGTTTGTGTGTGTGTGTTTGTGTGTGTGTGTTTGTGTGTGTGTGTTTGTATGTCGCTTTATCGTCAATATACTCAATTGTAATGTTCTACAAAACAAGTATCTATACATATATATATATACATATATAAATATATAAATATATATATATATACGTATATATATACACATCCTCATCTATATCTATCTATATATATATATATATATATATACACATATCTATGTATACATATATACACATATATAATGGATGGCGTGTCTTTCTATAAGCTGATGTTTCGTCCACTTTAGATGGGCACATAGTTGCCCTTCGGCGTATAGAAGAGCTGACCCCTGAACAGACGACGACGTATTTCACTTAGAAGCAATCGTTTCTCCTTCTTGATCTTCTTAAGAACACCTTTGTTCTCTTGAGCACGGCGCGACAAATATGGCAGCACCTCTTCAACGGGTCCATAAGGTATATACTTGTACGCCGAGTAACCTGCTTGGCCTGTTTGGGAATAATATAAGATAAGCAATAATGATGACAAGATACCATTCCGTAAATATGTATTTACCCAGTGGGAAAGTAATGTAATCACACATGCCCAATAATTGACCGAAGCATATGACCTTATCCTCTGGCGAAATACCAATCGATTTCATATTTTCGATGGCAAAGCGAACCGTATCCTCATTGTGAGAAGCAACCATAATACCAATTTTTCGAGCATCCTGGCCGCAATCCTTCAGAACCTGCAGAAAGAAAGGCATTTAAATCCAATTGAAATCGAAGCGAAGCTAAGCTAATCCAGACTCTTGCCTTTATGCGACGCAGACATTCGGCCAAGGTCTTGTGGTACATCTCGGTCGTAGCCTCGTAGTTGGGATTTACTGGATCGGCATATCCCAACGCCTGAGCCCGAGCACGCTCCTGATCCATATAAGCGCCTCGCACCAGCTTGGCACCAAAGTAGAAACCCTGTCGACTTGCCTGTTCCAAATCTGTGACCACCTACAAATATAAAAGCATTACTCTCAGGACTAGCTCAACTGATGCTTTTGCTTCTTTTACCTCACGGAATGTCTCACGCAAGTAACACTGATAGGTATTGAATACTATGGCCTTGTTCTTGTTGTATTTACGCATCATTTCCAACGTGATGCGTGTTATAGCTGGCTGGAAATATGTTTGCTCCGCATCAACCATAATGCGGACATCCAGCTCAGCGGCAGTCTAAAGAATATGTTGAGATATTTCAATTGGCATCTAAGCAAATGTTAATTGTATATCTCATATAGTTTAGCTCACCTTTACAATTGTGTTTAGACGACGTATCATGTTTCTAAACATCTCTTCTTCTTTGGGCGATATTTGTGAGATCAATCGACGCATTTGACCAGTCAGTGGATCGGGCACACGAAATGTTTCGCTCAACTGGGAGTTCTCATCAACAATGCCTGACCAGGGGAACAGGTGCAATATGCTAAATTACGCCAATAGACAGAAGACAGACCATTTTAGTTATAAAACATATAATAATGAGTAAGAGTCCTCTAGGCGGAAGTGCCCGACTAGCATATACCCTGGACACTGAGCTGATCTGCTATGCTATAATTTTAAAAAATATGTGGATTCATTAAAGGAACCTCACAATAAATTTCTTCAAGTTACGTCTAAAAAAATGAAAAAATTAAAATAAAATGATCGATTTTTATCGAAAACGGGAGTTTTCGAAGTCGTGTGGTACACGAAGTCGTGTGGTACACAGGGATAGAGACAGACAGCTATTACTAGATCGACTCAGTCCGTTTTCCTGGTCAAGAATAAACTGGGTTTAGGGTATACTGCTGGTATACTAAATAATAGTTCAAATTGTCTTAAAAACTTTTCCGTATCGATTAGCTTTAAAAATATAGAGCTCAGCAAGTCTGTGACAGTTAACGCACCCCTCCTTATCAGACGTGACATTCTGTAAGAACTGCTGCACATCCTTGTTGTCGCCAACGCTTGCATAATACTTCTCGAGATCCTTGATGGTCTTATGATGGGTCAACACGTTGCCCTGACCGCCGACAAGTGCCTCCATATATTTACGTGTGCGCATTATGACCTCCGACAGTTGTAACTAAATGAGTTTAAAAATAAAAATGCAATTAGTTATATAGCTAGCAATTAGATGATATATACATATATGTATGTATGTATGTGAACACTCACCAGCAACTGGGGACGGCCGAGGGCAGTTAGCTTGATGGCTGTGATGCCTGTTCCGAAGGTGGCGCCTGTTGCGTATTTGGTTCGGAAATGAGAAGCATTCGAAAGGTGAGTGAGTGAGTGGAAGGTGAGCAAAGGCAATACGACTAAAGGCGTGGCACACTGTGCCAATCAGCCTTAACTACATGCAATTGATACACTACACAAATAGACATACACAGAGACACACACGTACACACATAGCTACAGCGTTTACACAATATACGCAACATAAAACGAATGCAAACAAAAGCAAACTAAAAATAACAAACAAAGCAAATACCAAATATCAAATACGAGATTTTGGTTTTGAGTTTCGAGTTTTCAATTATTTCGAATTTTTTCTTAGTCTTTCAAATGTTAGTTAAAACCTCTTACCGTCGGGTGCAGGACGTGGATCTTTGGCATCGTCATCTGCCCCATACACACACACACACACAGACATACGCACGAGCGCACACACACACATTAGATTTTTTGAGGTTAGTTTAAATTCCACAACGTTTCGTTAAGTTAATGCATTGATTTTTCAAAGGTTAGTTCAAATCCCATTGATTGTGTTAATCGATTTTGACATAGAGGGAGCGAGAGTTAGGCGGCGATTCGTTTCGTTTCATTTCGTTTCGTTTCGGTTTGTTTAGTTTTTTGTTCACGTTATTTCAAGTGAGAAAGAAAAATGCAAAATCAAAATTTAATGATTACAATTATTGCAAATATACAAAAAAAAAGTCAGCTAGAGGAAAAATAAATTAATTCAAAATAAAGAAAGCTTTTGATGGAGAAAAGTGCCGTAAACCTGACTGTTCCAAATATATCGTAATCCTATATGGTACACATAATATATATATATATATATATATATATATATGTAAAACCAGTTGATCAGCACACCGCAATGAATCAAAAAGCTCTCACGATTAAACACAAAGCATTTCTTCCCTGATTCATTACCGGCTTTTCGCATTCCGTGACTAAAATAATTCGACTGAATTATTTGGCAATTAAGTGAACTTGATAATATTCTCTTGATTAAGTCGTTTGTTCAACTCTCACCTTAGTGCGGAACATTCGAATGCAAATATTTGTTGGCAGAAGGCAATCACAATTACAATCAGAAAGAGGAGCATTGAAATGAAGCGTTTGCTCGTGAATTGTGAGCTCAGCCACAAAGGGGAACATTGGAATTGATGCATTGGCCAGCATTTTGTTGAGGAAACATTGTGTGCAAGCTGTATGCCTAATCATAGAGGGGAATAAGATGAAACATTGGAATGAAACACTTAATTTGGAATGGAATACCACAACGCGGCAGTTTTTCCTACTAATTTGCTAATAAATGCTCTGCATGGAACATTGGTATTGAAACAGTTGTGCACATCCTGACCCTTTAACAATTTTCCCCTAACTTTGTTTGTCTAGCCTTGAAATGTGAATAGCTCTAAATAGTATTGAAATATCAATTTACGTAATTAACCTCATCTTCTAGTCAAATAATAAATGATATATGTAAAGCGAAAAAGACGACGATTATGATGTACGATGATGATGATTATGATAATGATTAGAAAATCAAAATCGATAACACTGGGTGCACAAGGAGGATTGTACAGCACATGCACTTAAGACTCTTACTCCTATTTATATGGTTTTTAGGTAGGGTAGAGCTTACCTGAAACAGCTTCCAGACACTTGATGAAGATTTCCATGTTTCGCTCACAGGTCGCTTCGTTTAGATAGAAATAGGTACGAGCACTGCTCACCTTATAGCGACGATCGGCGAAAGATTTATCCACATGATATTGAGGCAATGCACCAGCATCCTTTTCATTATCACCCGCACTTGACACAGAAGATCTGCAATCAATTAGGAAATATGATTTAAGTGGAGCGCTTCAAGTGCGGTGGAAATTGTTAAACGTACTCAACTTCACGCTTCTCAGCTTCTTCCTGAGTGATGTCCTCTTCGACGGAATAATCCAGGATGGGCTTAACGCCAAAGGAGCGAAGTCTGCGAGCGGCATATTAGTTAGGAGCGAAGACAAATAGTCAAAGATAGAAAGAGCATTAGAAATGCGGCTTGTAACAGAGCAAAAATAACATGAAAATGGGCTTTTTATTAGGGCATGTGTAAAGCATTTTCGTATCGCTGTGAGTGGGGGTGTGGCAAAGCAACGTGCCACATGCAACATGCTGCGACGAAAATTTCGCATTAGTTGGTTAGTTAATTTGGCGTTTATTGTAGTGCTCGAGTTTGATTGCATTTTTTGGTTATAATGACAGTTGTTAAGGGTTATCGTTATCGATTATGATTAAAGTAAAACGATTTTAGCACCTCTCAAGGGCGGGGACAATCGTGTGGCGATTCTCGCCGGCCACAAAATGTCCGTAGAAAGTGGATTTCATCAGCATCACAAACAGCTTGCTGCCCAGCACGCTGCGAGCGATTTTTAAGAGCTATCGATTTCAATCGTTTATCGGTTGTCGTTATCGATGAGACCACATCGTTTAATTCGATTATTTTTTAGGAGGATGAAACGTAAACCATTGTTTATCGGTTGCATCAATCGTTATCATTACAGTAACGTAGGTTATTTTAATTGATCGTTTATTGGTTGTGGTTATCGATAAAAACATTGCGTTTTATCGGTTTTTTGTGATGGTGCATCGTTAATCGCACATGATTATCGACAGTGCAGGTACATATCGATTATTTGAAAAGGAAATAAGTGCAGCGATGAGATAATCAGGAACAGCGCGATTGTTTTATAAAACATAAACAAACAAAAAACGCAGCACATCGTTAATCGTTTATAATTATCGATAATTTTGTAGTAATGTTGATCGAAAAAGGTAATCGATAACAATACAGCAATAAAAAGCGCAAGTATCGTTAAATTGATTTTTTTAATGGAACATGCGTAAAATTTTTTATCGGTTGAAATAATCGATAACCATAAAATTGCATTGATTGTAATTTAATAAGCATATTTTTGTTTAGGTTTTGATTGTTTTTTTTTTTTTGTTCGCATAGCGCAACAGCAAAGCAAAAGTAGAGAGGAAGAAAAAGAAAAGAAAAAGAGAAAAATATGACGTTAGTGGGTTCTATAATCGTTATACAATTACCTTTCCAAGGTGGGTATTATCTTGATCTGATCCTCGCCAGCGACAAAATGGCCATAGAATGTTGCCTTCATTAATGCTGTAAATAATCTTTTACCCAACATTTTGTTTGTCCATTTCATAAGCTGCGATATTTTTGTTTTTTGTTTTAGACGAAATTTTAAAGATTTGTTTTCGTTTTTATATATTGATATAATTATATATATATATATATCTATTGCTTTCTTTCTTTCTGTTTTCGTATGTATATATATTGGTTTTTAGAATAAAACAAAATATAAAAAAATAGCGAGAGAAAGTCGCAAAAGCGAGAAAAATATCGCATATCAAAAAGAACTCAGTTTCTACACGCAAAACAAAATTGAACAGGAACAACACAACTATTGCTCACTCCTTCGCACACATATGTGCGACATTTGGGCAAAGATCGAGACAGCCAAAATTCAAATTATCTGTCACTCTCTCGCTCTCTCGTTTTTAAAGCAACATAAATCATTTGGAATGCCGCCAAAGTCACATGCTAGAGAGCAGCGGCAAAGAGCGAGAGCGCAAAATAAAAATAAATAACAACAACAAGATCGTGTCAAGGCCAAATGTCGTGACACAGCACAATGCGAACGAACTATACGGCGAATATTAAAAAAGAACAGGCAAAGGCTGCGAGAGAGAATGGGACGGGGTAAGGTGGTTAAAGCTTGCTTGTTGAGCTAAGTGAGCGCTTTCTATTGTTATTCAATTCCTAAAAGTCAGCTGCCAACGTAGCTCATAACATTAAAAAAAGTACAAATTAAATATCGAAGCTTTTTATTTTGATGGGCACGTGTGATGAACTGAACGGACCGGTTGACAAGCAAACTTTTTAAAGGAGGAGAGAAATAATAGCCAAATTAAGCAGCAATAAGCTTCTGTATGTATATGTATGTGTGTGCCAGTACTTTTTAAAAACCGGTTATATAAAAATTGGCAACGTTGCTCCAAGCGCTTTTTTTGTGTGTTTAGTGAACAACTAGCACAGGTGTTCACTTTTGAGCTGTGACACCTTGTCACGAGACCTGCCGAATATATTGCCCACAGACATGAAAATAAAAATAGAATAGCACCCATCAAAACATAAAAGAAAAAAAAGCAACAACAATTACCATGGCTATTAAGTTGCCAACAAATACACACACACTCACATATGCAGCGCTGCAATTACTGCAATTCATGTTAATCAATTTTCCATTTAATCGATCAAACCACAAATTGTATAACAATAATCGATATTCAAATACGTCTGCAAAATATAGGCGAAAAAGACACACCTACACTCAAACCTACGCCTTAATATAACAGTAAGTATAACAGTGAGCGAACGACGAGATATCTGACGTAGCAGCGCTGCTTGCAGCAACTAACGCGTCTCGTTGGCTTTTTTGATTGGCGCACTTTTGGGGGCCTGCCTGTTAAGTTTTTACATATAAACACACAAACTTGTGAGTCTGTCTATGTGTGTGTGTGTGACTGGCCGACCGCCGAACTGACTGACGCAACTGGCGTCTGGTTGGCTGGCCGCGTAGTAAACAGCAGCGGCCTCCAACAAGGTCATAAAAATGCATTTGATTTGCGCGCTCGTTGAGTCACACTAAACATTCATTTACACACGCTGCGCATCCCCTTTATACACATCCAGGCACCCACACAATCCAATTGAGATGGCAATTAGAGCTGCATTCACACAAATATGTGCAATATCACTAAAAAGTAGCGAGCCAAAGAGAGAGCAAGAGGGCGAGAATGGGCAGGAAGACAAGGCAGCTGGCTCAGCAGGTATGACAAATGGCAATACCGAAATAGACTAAAAACAACAAAAGAGAGAGAGTGCGGGAAGAGAAAAATGAGAAAAAGAAACTAAATATAAGAATAGCACACAGGGGGAAATGTGTGCTAATGAGCATAACATAAGCTTGGGAACTTCTGATGACTCTGTGTCTGTTGTTGATAATAGCAAGAATGCTGAGAGGATATGCGGTTAACTGAAAGCTGAGCTCAAGCTTTATAGCAAACTACGACTGTGCTACATTTGATGAGCGGAGAGTTTTGTAGATGTCACACATTTCAATAAGTACGGAGAGAACTGATTTACCGATAATACTAGAAAAATGGAAGATTGAAGTTAAGCTGCACTTTTGATCAAGAGCGACAAAATGACAAACTGATACGAATATCTTCAAGATATACGAATTCCAATTAGAAGATATGCATTATTAGGAATTCATATGTATTACTTGCGAAGTAAGGGAATGACTTGACCGTAAATTGATAGGATATTAAACTATATAGAACAAGTGCAGAGGTTAAGATCAAAACTATAGTGAACAAATAAAAATGAATAAAAACAAGATACTATTCTCTAAAAAGAAGATATAAAGGAGATTTTCATTAAGTCCACTTACCGTCATATTATGCTCAACAATCTTTTCGCTGGTGCAGATCATGTAGACCAAATAGGCGCGTGTCAGCTCCCATGTTGTTTTGCTCTTAAATGCCGCAATTGGATCGTTAAAGCTAACGTCGAGCGGGTCACGCTGTGGCTTGACACCCTCCTGCTTTGATTGGACGTGCTGCGTCCTATCAACGACTGACACCTGCGCCTGCTTGTCCTGCGCTGCTGAGTGCAGACAGCGAACGTCACTCAACAACGAATTCTGCCAGTGCAACACAGCACTTTTACTGGCGTTGGCGCCGGTACATGATGTATGTAAACTTCTTTTAAGGCAACTTACGCCGTTGCCGTTGACATTGTTGTAATAATATTCGGTTACTCCCCCCAAAAAACCGTTTCGGCTGCCGCTACAGAAGCTGCCTGCGCTGCGACAATAGTAAGCGAATTTAAATGTTGTGCGTGATGCGTTCCAGGAACGAAGTTGAGCCATTACAGAGCGAATTGGTTGCTGTTGGGCTCTTAAGCAGATGAGTTACAACTCCTCGTGTGCGAGAGATACAGATAGGTAGAATCGAGAGAATAAGCGAATCGGGCAATCGTTTCTCTTCGCTGTTTTCGCCTTGGTTCGTAGCACACTTTATACCAATTTTTAATCACGTTTCGCTTTTCTTATTCTTGATGTTGCTGCTGCTGCTGCGACTGATGCTGTTACTCAGCTGTTTTTGTATATTTTGTTCTTGCTTTTGCTTTTGCTTTTGCATGCGCAATACTTTTTGTTGATTTGGAGCTTTCTTCCTCTCTGTAAAAAGATGTCCATTATGTTATACAATAATTTAGAAAAAAAAAACAAAAAAGGGAAGAAACAGCAATAGAGAGCGCGCGATAGAGTGAGAGAAAGAGAGGAAAGAGGTTAGAGAGAACACAAAGCACATATGTATAAATTTGACACAGCTAGTGCTCACACAGGCAGACAGGCGTACACACACACACACGCACGCCGCACACGAACACTTAACAATGTGCACAAAATTAAATTAAAAATTTTAAATTTTAGTTGTTCAGCTTCTACTTGAATTACTGACGTTATGTTGTTTCTCAGTTGTGTACCTGCTTTATTAATTTTTATTTGATTTTCCCGTGTTGCTCTGATTCTACTTTATTTATTTTTTACTTCGTTCTTCGTTTCCACACTACTTACGACTAAACGTTCGTCCACGGCAAAAGCACAATTCCAACTGTCAAGACGACAACGGCGAAATTGCTACCGAAGGCGCAATGACCCGAACCAACACACGAGCGTGGCCACACGAGTGAACGACAGGCACTCAGGCAGTAAAGCAGAGAGGCCATTCATCCTGCGCTCGATTACATAATAGTTGCGCCCACGCTGAACTTTGTTCTGATACGTGACGTCACATTGCCTCCGCTGGCGAATCACGGCGAAAGAGGCCAATTGAGGACGGCGACTTTGATTGGGGGGCCTTGATTTTGTATTGTTTATTTTTGCCAGGCCGTTCTTTAATTTAAATTAATATGCGCCACAAGTGTTGACCACGACAATGACAAATGCCAAGCACTAATTGGTGTTAATTTAAAAACGTGCAGCCAAAATAACCCCAAACCCCCTTATAACTACACAATGGTTCTCGCAACGGGGCACCGGCGACGGCGAATATGTGATTGCTTCTTTTAATTTATTAGCGTTACGCTAAACGCACACCAGACGAGACGCATTCGCCGCAGTCGTCGCAATCAAATAATATCAAACTTAGCGGGTTTCAATCGCACACAGATTTCATTTCACTTAATTATTGTGAGATGAGAGAAACAGCCGTGTCGAGGTAACGTGTGGTGAATACAGCAAATAAAAATTGCGGCGACAATTGGGCAAAAGTGCAAAATCATCAAAAGAAACTTTTTTTTGGTAACTAGAATTTCTTCTATGCCGTCTATCTCACTCCCACAAATGTTCCGACAATGTTTTCATGGATTTGATTATATAACCGTTGCGTGCTCTACTCTACTACACGGATAGAGATCCTTACATGACGCATATATTCATGCATATGTATGTGTATGTATGCACATACACACCCACACAATATGGGCACACACAATTCGCCCGTTGTCTATTTCGCCGCCTTTGCAATTTCTCTATTTATTTTCATTTATATGCATGCTTATGCCATTTGGATGCTCTATTTTTTTCTTTGCTCAAACAGCACTTGTCAGTACATATGTACATACATATAACGGATTGGTATGTACATATAAATGTACATATGTATGTATTAAGCACACTCAATTTTTATAGCAACTTTTAAAAATTCGATAACTGTAGTTTAAGGCAAGAATGGCAAGACTGCATAGGATGCAGTGATAAACAAAAAATAGACAACTAACGCAAAGTTGCCATTAGTGCATACCTTAGAAAACACAAATTTGAAGTTTTCTTTCTTATTGGTTTATTTTGTTATTCGTCGTGTTGCTGTTGCACGTTTGCGTGTTCCATTTGCAACGGTAACAACTGTGAGGGTCTGAATACGCGCACCAACTAAATTAAGGCCAACATTGAAGCGAAACTGCTAGCGAAAGCTCACGCGAAGCTTGCGAATGGGTCAAAACCGATACCGAAACCGAAACCGCGTGTAGAACAACAGTCGCAGCGAATGTGAGCTAAAGCAGCAATGGCGGCATTGTCAGCTGTTTGTTGTTTTTGCTATCGATGTTAATGTTGTTCTTGCCTTCATCTTGCTGTATTTGCTATGCACGTGAGGGCTAGCAAGTGCACGTAAATCACGCGCTCGCCATTTTATTTGTTACAAAAACAAAATCCTCGCATATTTCAGCCAATTGCAATGCAGTCGCTTATCTACGCAGTAGACGGTTGGCTGAGAATACAGTCTTATCTTTCATATTTTTATACATATATATATATATACACATCCACATACACACGCACACGTACACACACATACATACAAGAACAAATACGCAGGGCCGGCTAATCGTTGACTGCGTCTGTTGTTGCTTTTATGCTCTACGCACTAGAGTTGTTTCAAATTGTTCTGAGGAAGTTCATTTGAGTCGATAATTATATTCAAAAGAACGAACGAGCAGAACGAATGATAGTGCACCTTAATGAGAATTGACTTTCTGCTCATTCAACGAACTACAATGTACAACACTTCAAGTCCAAGCGCGCATTCATAGTGCGATAATTATCGATAAATACAACATTTAAATTGAAAATTTAAGTTTTTTATGAATATATATTTTATGTATATGTATATGTGTTGCATAATGGTTCCACTTTCACAATAATAGATAATAGATAATAAATTATAGCTACTAGTTGTATTAGAAATAATAATAATATTAATTAACAGTTATTTAAGCGCAGAACGTGTGCATACAGATATATATATATATCTTATTGATTTTCTCTTTTTTTTTTGTAAAAGTGTTGCTGTAGCAGGAAAAAAAACTTAACAAATCGAGCAACTTAACAAAATCGAATGCAAAATATATATAGTTCAATTGAAACTACGCGACGAATAACAAAACAAAATATAATTATAAAAAAAAAAACAAATATTTGATCTAAAACATTTTTGCGCTCTGTATCTACCTTTAACATATTGCGTGCCTATAGATGGGTGTGTGTGTGTGTTTACATAATATTATTGACTAAATTGTAGATCAACGAATGTCTATTTACTCTCTTCTAATGCCGCATATTCTCTCGATTTACAGCTACAGGCACGTATATATCATCATTATCATTATCATCATTATCAAAGCAAATAAAACAATAACAATTACTATATATATATTTATATACAGCATTTGACAGCTAATTAGAAACGTATTCTTTGTTTCATTCACATATTTTAAATATGTTTGTATATATATATATCTTTATATATATACTCCACATTTTATATCTTATATTACACTGATTGTTTTATGGAATATATATATATATATATATATATATATATATATATATATATATATATATATATATATATATATATATATATATATATATATATATATATATATATATATATATATATATATATTATATTATCTTACATTATTTTTATCTTTTCATTTTTGCACGTTTTTCAGCTTGAAGCTAATAACTATTTCTTTATTTTTTTATTATTTTATTTATTTATTTTTTTATTATTTTATTTATTTATTTTTTTATTAATTTAAATTTCATTTACCTTTCTTTATTTATTTAGTTCTTTTTTTTAATTTGATTATTTTTGATTATCTAATTGTTTTTAATTTTAGCGAAATACCTCGTTCGCAGTGCTGAACGCAGCTAAAAAGTTAGCAGCATTTTAAACATGACTTTAAAAATGTAAAATTTCGCGTCTGCGATGACTTTTAAACTGCACTTTTGCGTTAATACGAATTGTTGAACATTTTTGACTCGATCTTATGTCGGGGGTTTTTAAAATTTTACCTAAGATGTTTCAATTTTTTTGCAAAATAAAAGCAGCAACCATTCGCTTAGTTGTTTCTAATTAGTTGTCAATGGCTGTTAGTATAACTATGCGTAAGTACAGTCACAACAAAAATATTCTGCTATGAACTGCTTTAACAGCGAACTGCATTACAGCAACAGTTGCTGCTGCAGTAGATGTTGCTGCTACAGTTGATGCATTTGCCATAGATTTAGCTGCTGCAGATGGTCCTGCTTCTTGTTGGAACAGTTAAAGTTGTTGGTGTTGTTGCTGCTGCTGCTGCTGTTAGTTGGTTTTGGTCAGCTCCGTACGATTCGCGGCCACTTCGGCCAGGATGAGTAGATCTGAGGTAGTGGTCACATCGTAACCGATTTGCTCGTAAGCGGAAAAAGTTGACGACGAAGACGAGGATAGCGGCGAGGCAGCGACAGTTGCTGATGTCGCTGTTGCTGAAGTTGCAGCGGTTGTTGCGGGCTGTGCGCGCGTTTGATTAAAATAATAACAGCCATTGATTGTCAGCGGCAATATGGAGGCTACCTCCTGCTCTATGGCGCTGACATCGCGACGTGTAATGCTCTCCTTGCGAGCCTTTCTCTTCTGGCTGCCCACGGCAGCAGCAGCAGCAGATGCTGTTGTTGTGCTGCCAACTGCTGCAGCTGCAACTGTTGCTGTTGCAGATGCTGTTGCTATGCCAGATGCTGTTGCTGATGTGCTATTGCAGTGGCTACTGCTGTTGCTGTTGCTGTTGCGTTGTTTCTTGCTACTGCTGAATTTCTTCTTCTTTTTGGTGCTTCTCTTACGTTGCAAATACGCATCCAGGCTAAGGGCTGGCAACTCCTTAATTTTCTCCTCTAAATCAAACTCATTGGCATCGCAATTACTGTGTCTATTGGGCGTGGCACGCATTGTTGCCTCCAGCTGCAATAGTTGCCCATCAACTGCAACTGTTGCTGCTGTTGATGCTGCTATTGGCGATATGGGCGGCGTATTGCTGTTGCCATCGATGATGCTGTTGCTATTACTGTTGCTATTGCTGTTGCTATTGTTGCTGCCGCCGCTGTTGAGGCGACATTTGCTCTTCTTGGCTATGGCCGCCAGTTGGCCCGAATTGAATAGCTCCTGATAGATTTTGCCCTTGCAGCTACGTGATGTTTTAAACTTCTTGGTGGGTGTGCTTGCTCCTCGATCCTCTTCTTCGCTTGAATTGCTTGCACTATCCATAGAGCGTTTATTGCTAATGTTGCTGCTGTTGTTGCTGGGCATGTGCGCGCTCATGAACTGCGTCGTCTCGCTGAGCGCCTGCTGCAACGCATAATCCTTATCCTGAACGCTGCTCGCATTGCTGCTCAATAAAACCTTAAGTTCACCCATCTGCGTCTCGTCTGCAAATTTGAATAGATTGCGACGCAACATGTGTGCCACTTCAGTGGGTTGCCAGGGAAGCGGCTGTTGCATGTGTTGCTGCTCTTCATTTGGATGTCCGGTTGCCGTATTGCTGGGACGCGTGGCTAGCGTGCGCAACGGCGGAGCTGGCAATTTGTACCATTTAAAATTTGGATTGGCATTGAAGAAGGCATCCTTGTTCTGTAAATATTTGGAAAAAGTCAAATTAAATGATCTATGAATCAAAAAGACAGAGAGAGCAACATAGAGAGTGAGAAAGAAATACATGTTCTTAACAATATTCGAGTCAGTGCTGCCCAATCGGTAGCTAGACAGCGCTATCTTTGTTGTTAGCTTTTTTCAAACTAAAGCAAAGTTTGTGATTCAAGATGTGAGAATCTAAAAAGATGTTCGCATTATGCTTAAATAAGTAAAGTAATTATTTTTAGCCAGACTTACAGCTGTCGCTTATAATTCATATATATTTGTCTATATTTTGGATTTTGTCAACACAAATTCTATTTTTTTTTATTATATATTCAAATTGCAATTGGCATTTTTAGCATGTTTGCCAGATTGTCTGCCTCAATTATTAGTAGCATCAAAGAATTTAAAGTTTTTAATTAAGAAGTTTTGACAAAGCTTACTAAGCTAATGTACGCTTACATTTATTTAAAAAAGACATTAAGTGCAAAAGAAAGATACAGCATAAGGCTGCTTTCCTTAAGTTATATGTTCCATGTAAAATTATTTGAATCCAAAAGTAGGTTGCCAGACTTTATAGTTGTAATTACAACTCTAACTTAGGTTGTCAAAAATTTCAGCTAAGCTGTGAAGTAGAACCAATAAACATTTCGCGAACTGCTACAGCATACGAAATTTAAGCAGCACAATTTGTAGTGAACCATTAACTATGTTGCAAAACATCATATTGAATCACTCACTTGTTGCGCCAGATCGGTAAAGCACTGCTTCTCCTGCTCATCTAGTGCGGCCCACCAGTCGCCGAGTATTTTCGTAATTGCTCTGTTGAATACATTAAGGATTTTTTAGGTTTTTTTATGTTTATGTATTTTGAGTGCCATAGAGTTGCCACACTTACCGATTCTCTAGCGATTTGTAGCGCTCCTTGACAATGGCGCGATGCCTTTTACAAAATATAAGAAATGCATTCATGGGTCGACGAGCATGATGCTCCGGTCGCAGATTATCCTGATCGACCTTTGAAACCAACTGTTGCTGTTCCGATCCCTGTTCTTTTGCTGCTGCTAATGTGGCAGTTTCGGCGGTCGTTGCTATCGCTGCTGCATTTGCTGCTGTCGGTGTTACAGTGACAACATCTACTTCGACATGCTCCTCGGAATCTTCATCATTTAGATTGTTAGGCACATTGACACGGTTTTGTTTGTTTAATTTACGCAATGTTGCTACCTCCTCCTCATCGTCATCGTCATCAGCATCATCGAAATCGTCGTCTTCATCATCTTCCAGCTCATCACTGCTGCTGCTGTGTAGATGGGGATGATGTTGCTGATTATGGTGACGATGATACTGTTGCTGATGCTGCAGCTTGGCATAGTTGTGCACATCCTCGATTTGGCGAAAGGCATTTTCTTGGTCTTCAGTTCTTTGTTTTTGTTGTTGCTGCTGCTGTTGTTGTTGCGGTGGCATTGTCCAGCCATCTAAGACACTTTTGGCTAATGCTGTTGTTGTTGTTGCAATCTTCTGCTGCATGTTATTGTTGTTATTGTTGTTGGACTGTAGATTGACATGTTTAAACTGCGAATCTTTGGTGCTTGTTGCTGAGGTATTTGCTTTGCTGGGCAAAATGAGTACTGCGCTTCGCTTTTGTTGCTGTTGCTGTTTCTTTTGTTGTTGCTGTTGTTGTTGTGGATAAGTCATTAAATAATGCTTTGCTTCAACTTCGCTTTGTGTTATTTTAAACATTTTCGCAGTGGTAGTCGCTGTCACAGCTGTTGCTGCTATTGTTGTTGTTGTTGCTGTTGCTGGGGTGGCACTGCTGATTAAGTTGTGGCTTTTGTGCTCATTTTCTGTTGCTGGCACAATTTTACTGCTACTGCTGTTGCTGTTAGTGCTGTTGTTGCTATTGCTTTTGTTGTTGTAATTAAAATGCAGCTTAATTGTAGCAGCAGCCGCAGCACCTGCGCCCGCACCTGCCACACTAAAACTGTTGATCATTTTTTATGTGAACAAAAACGCGCCGCGTCGCGTCCTGCTATATTGCATGGATTTTTGTTTTTGGTATTGTTGCGCCTGCAAATAAATAACCTAGTATAAGCAACAATTTAAAATAGGAATTTCACAAATGCATGTCACAGTGTTCGTATATGAGTGCATGTATGTATGGTTGCGATATTGTATACGTGTGCGCACATATGACAGCGCTACCAATGTAGCTTAAAATTGTTAAACATCTGGCAGCTCTGTTCGGGCTTTGCTCGGTTGTTTACAAAATAAAATACCTAGAGTGGGTGGCATACGAACGATAAAGAGAGCGAGACCGCGAGAGGAATGGTAGCGCAAGAGCAAGCACACATATGATATTTGCAAGCTCTCGTTCACTTTGTGGTTGTGCGTGTGCGCCAACCACTAACAACAACACGTATCAGCTGTGTACGTTTGACGTAAATATGCACAAATGTGTGTGCGTATGTGTTTGCCATTGGCACTGACGCGCCCGTTAGTCGCACAACAAAAATAACACATAAATACACATACAAATATTTTAAGTTTTCACTAAATATGATGAGAAATATATCAACAAAAACAAACGACGACGAAGAATACATGTTGATCAATCTATATTGATATAAATTTAATTAACTCTCACTCTCTCTTTCATTGCAAGCTTTCAGCAAAATACAAATGTTAATATGTATGAACAAAGCAGGAATATATGTACATATTTATGTACATAAACGTATGTATGTAACTGGCGCACGGACAAACAATCGAAAACGTCAGATATATGTATGAAAACACATATATATATGTATTACTTGCATAAATATAATACACATACATATACGCACATATGAAGAAAAACAAAACTCACAACTGTTAAAAAAAACGACAACGGGGGAAAACAGCAAAACGACAACTACGCAGCGCGAAAACCGAAGTTTCCAATTGTATGAAATATTTTTCAACACTGACAACAATGTCAAACACTGGCTGCCAGCTAACCAATTATTGCGAATAACTGTTAAGATGAATTTGGGGCTGGTGACTGCCTAGTTTAACACATGTTAATTAATTATTAACATTATTTGCATTTTTTTTGTTTGTTGCTCACTTTTGCTAATTCTATGACTATTGCACAATTTGCTAACTATATTTTGTTGTATTCCTTTATGTGGCTGTCTGCACTACTGTCGGATTTCATATAACAAAAACAAAAAGAAAAAACTACTGTGAACAGTGCTACGTGTACAGCTGTGTAAGCGTATGTGTGTGTGTGAGAGCGAGAGTGCGAATGCGCGCAGTTTCTTTATGTGTGTGCGAGAGATGCCGATGCCGCTGATTTGCCTTTTCTGTTTTCGTTACGATTACTTTGAACTTGGTTGTGATTGTGTGTGTGGGTGTGCAAGAGACGCACTGCGCTTAAAGCGCTGTTGTGTGAACGGCAAGTATTTGTGTATTTCATTTGGGATTCCATCTCCATCTAAACAGTGTTGCCACTTGACGCATTTGCACTGTCAAAAGTGCAGCCACAGCTGTCAGCTGTTACACCGTTGCTGTCTGTATTTGTTGTTGTTGGTTCATTTGTACACGGTCAAGGCCAAAGCGTCGTCGGAGCAACCATTGATGAGACGTTGGTGCCAGACGCGAGGATTGGGGGTGTTTCGTGGCGCCGCGTCGTAACCTTCAAACAAGTTCTCGTTCTAAATGCGCTTCTAGGTTAGGTTTCGCTTAGCTAAATATTGAAGAGGCGTAAGACGGGAGGCTGAGTGTTCCTCTTAAGTGCAACAATTTGTATGCATATATAAATATATAAATATATATATATTTCTGTAATAATTTGCAGTTTTTTAATATTTTTATTTAAAAACGCAGCGCAATATACAGTTGTGTGTATATAAATATATACATACAGTTCCATATTTACATATATACGTACGTACACTTATACATATGTGGAAGCAACTTAGACTCACACACACACTCGCACAGAACAGCTGATGACGTTTGTTATTTTGTTCGCGCTGATTATTTTGCAAATAAAACGGCAAAGCAAAACGAAAAACAAAATGTCGTTGAGTTTTATTTTGGCGTTTGTTAAATGAAAACTTCAACACTGAATCGGCGCATTAATTAAAGAACCATTTACAATTTTTCAATAATAAAATAAATTTACTTTGAATTTCACCAATAATTAATCGGTGAATCGAAATCGCAATCAAACTCGTACTGCTCTTGTTTAATTTAATTTCAATGTTGATGATGTCAAATGAGAATGAAAACTGACTGTTTTTGTGTGTTGTACGGACAGTGGCATCGACGACGACGACGGCGACGGCGGCAGAGAAACGGTCGTCGTTGTCATTGCCTCTGTTTCGTTCAATTGAGCGCAGCAGCAACAGCAATAACAACGAAAATGTATTTATTTTTTGTTTTTGTTTTTGCCTTTGCTTGTGTGTTTGTGCGCCTAATACAATCGCACAAACAAATAAGCCCGGAGACTCTCATTTTTGTTCTCTCTCGTTTTACGTGTTTTGCGCAAGTTTTGTTTTTGTTCTTGTTGCTGGCAACTCTCTGGCACTTGCGTGTGGGGCTCAGACTCAGCTGTTTGACTGTCTGTTACTGCTGTTCATTCTCTTCTTCTTCATCGTGTTGTTGTTGATGGAAAATCGTGTGCAGCTGATTTTCATATGTAAATTGAAAAAAACAGGAAGAATTTTCATATTCTCCGTAAACAAAACGATACTGGCGTATCTGGGGGATTTTCTCTCAGCTGCAATATACAGACATAGACATATTGCAACAAGTACAATTTGTTTTTCTCTATATTGGTATACAGGCGTGTGTGTATACAGGAATGTGTGAGTGTCCAATTCTCTTTCCCTTTTGAGTTTTTGGCAAATTGGAAGCTTCTGCTATTGCATAATCAATTTTAACAATTTTTGCTCGGTTTGTTTGCATTTGCATTTGCCCAGCGTTGCCTACACCAAAGCAGAGCAGAAGCAACCGCAACAACAATGTTATTGTTTTCAAGGTCACATACACATGCACAGTCCGCATTGTCCCCAAACACCCACTGGCCATCATCAGTTGAGTTCAATTGTTTGTGTCTTATACCGTTCGTTTCTTCTCTGTACTCGCACGCCTCGCTCGATTGTTGCGCTCTCACAAACAAAACTTGCCGGGAGCAATACACAAGCTTTCAAACTTGCTATCTCACATACCATATACTTACATACATACATCCATTTTTATATTTATATATGTATACACATATATGAATATATATATATACAAGTGTGAGTGTGTGCATGCGTGTTTGCGTTTTTGTTTGTAGAGCGCAGTCTACGGTAGGATACCGTTATGCATTGATTGTATGCGTATGCGTGTTAGTTTTCAGGGTCAGGGAAATTCGATTTTTATGTCGTTGTCGTTGAAAAAACCTCAATTAAAGACAATGACAGAACAATCAGATTTTTAAAGTCCAAAAATGACACTTAAATAACGTAAAAGTTAACGAACTATTCTAAGTACACTGAAGGCAATGAGTGCTCGACTAGTAGATACCTTAAATCATTTAACGATCCGCCTTCATTCTTCATACGTCCACCAAAAATCATAAATCATATGACAATAAATGGTGCTAAGGTCTTTGCACTTTAATCCCTTGAACTTTAACCAACAATTGTCGAATTATTGTATACTATTTTTTAATTTGATTTAATTTTCGTAGGAAAAAAATTGGACTTAATTGTACTTAATAAATTAATTAAGCAATTCATAAATTTCAAAATTTTAAGCACATAAATAATTAATAAAGAATCGGTTTAGCAATGACAGTGCAAAGTCTAAAAAGGGCATTTATTGACACATGTACATATGTACACGTATGTAGAAATGTATATACATATGAATGTGAGTGAATAAAAACCGATATGTATGCAAACACGCAGACATGTATATGCTGCATATATGCAGAAATAAATAATCATGAATATATGTATGTATACGCCTCTCACGCATACAAATATCTATGCTTTCTTGTTTTTATTTTTATTTCAAGACAAAAGAGCATACAAAATGATAAGACGGTCAGCGTGATCGACTTGAGCCAAAAGACTGAGAGAGAGGAAGTGGGTGTTTGGTGGAATAATTTGTTTTGGCAGCGATAAGCGAGAGGGCATAACAAAAAAATATATATATAAATTAAAATGATATCGATAACACATGAGCAGCAGCAGTATCAACAGCAGCAGCAGTTGCATCAGCATCCCATCTCACTCACCCGAACTGCAGTTGACATGCATTTAGCGTTTGAGCACATCGATAAACGTTTCGTGAGGCACGCGAATATTGGCAAACATGCGCATCTTCTTTTTGCCCTCCGCCTGTTGCTTGAGCAGCTTCATACGTCGTGTCACATCGCCGCCATACTATCGATAAATAGAGTCAAAGTTTTGCTATTTTTATAGTAGTATGGCAACTCACCAGCTTTGCTGTTACATCCTTCCGATAGGCTTTAATAGTTTCGCGCGCAAGTACTTTGCTGCCCACGCACGCTTGTATGGCAATCTGTACCATCTGCTTCGGTATGAGATCCTTCAGTTTGTGCACCATTTGACGTGCCACACCGGTGGCCTTGCTGACATGCACAATGCGGCATAACTCCTCGATGGGCCGGCCATTTAAATGTATATCAAGGCGCACAAGTTGAGTGAGATGATAGCCATGATCTTCATAGCTGAAGCTGGCATAGCCAGAGCTAAGGGATTTTAGGCGATCATGGAAATCCAATATGATTTCGCTCAACGGCAGGACATACTTCATCAATATGCGCGATTCATCGATATTAACAGAACTCTGCTGGAGACCGCGTCGCTCCACACACAATCCAATCACCTGACCCACATATTCAGTGGGCGTTATGATGGTTCCCAAAACAAGCGGCTCGTAGTACTCCTCAATGTTGATCGGCTCCGGTAGCAGTGCCGCATTCGATATATCAAGTGTGTCCTTACCATGCTGTTTGATCAGCTTTGGATTGCGTAGAACAATTCGATATGTTACGGAGGGGGCGGTTATAATGGGTTCAGCGCCATGTTCCTGCTCCAGACGCTGGCAGAAGACCTCCATGTGCAGCAGTCCGAGAAAGCCAAGACGCCAACCCTGGCCTAGTGCTGGACTCGAGTCCACATTGACTGTCACTGCCGAATCGTTTAGCACCATTTTATCAATGGCGTTGCGGAGAGCGACGTGCTTGGACTGATCCGCAGGGAAGACGCCCGCAAACACAATCGGTTGTTGTGGTCGATAGCTGCCAGCAGCTACAGCTGTCTGATGCTTCAGATGTATGGTGTCACCTATGATGGACTCCTTACTATTGCGCATATTGCAAGCTACGAGGCCCACCTGGCCGGCCAACAAACTTTGTACAGCGCACTCAGCTGGGCGAAGTACGGACAAACTTTTTGTGGGATACATCTTTTTGGTGGCCAGCGACTGTATGTCTTGGCCCACATTTAGCTGCCCGTTTAGCACATAAATAAGATTGAGTGCGCCGCGGAATTTGTCGAACCAACTGTCAAAGATTAACGCACGAAATTCACTCTCGCGCTGCACATTCGGTGGTGGTATTGTCTCAATGACACGCTCCAATACCTGGGCAACACCTGTGCCCAGTTTCGCCGAAACACGTAATACGCTGGCTGGGTCGATACCAAATAACAATTCCATATCCTTTGCTACCTGGTCAGGCTGAGCGTGCTTGATATCTATCTTATTTAGCACCGGTACAATGGCCAGCTGTCGCTGCTTGGCCAGATGAAAGTTGGCCACAGTCTGCGCTTGCACACCATGGCAAGCATCTACAAGGAGAATGACACCATCACAGGCGGCCAACGAACGAGATACCTGCAAGATGAAAGACGATTAATAACAGCATAAATAAGTCAAGCCAACAATGCACCTCATTGGAGAAATCCACATGGCCAGGCGTATCAATTAGGTTTAGCAAATATAGCTCCTTTTTATACTTGTAGAATATGGAAGCTGTTTGGGCTTTGACAGTGATGCCACGCTCTCGCTCCACTTGCAAGCTGTCGAGCACTTGATTTTGTCCAGCGTTGCGAGCAATAGCGCCTGTCAACTCGAGCACACGATCCGCTAGAGTGCTTTTGCCATGATCCACGTGGGCAATGATACTGAAGTTACGAATACGCTTGACGGGCATTCGACTAAACTCCTGCAGCAGTGCATCTTGCGATAAATTGGTTGCTGCATCAGCCTCAGTAGCCGCCTTGGCCTTCGCCTCTGCATTGGTTTTGCTCTCCAATTGAACGAAGGTCGTGACAAGCGTGCGGCGCTTCCATGTGCCCAGGCCAGTTGGTTGCAACAATTTGCAGCATATCGTTTTGTACATTTTCTTATGTATTTTCTTCTTTTCAACACATTTTATTTTTTTCTCCTGTCAACTATAAATATACCGGCACATTTTGTAGATGTTACCGCACAACATGTGAGTTAAATGTGCGGGGCTGTCAACTTATTTCAAATAAGGCTGATAAACAGTTCAGCGTATGCAACTGCACTGTATTCACAATAGCTTCTATTTAGTATTTTTACGCATAGGTGGCAACGCTATCAGCCGTTTGACCATATTAAGTTTAAATTAAATATTTATTAGTTAAAGGTATTAAAGACCAGCGACAAAGAATACTAATCTTATAATATTAATAACAGTTTTTGTGTATTCAATTAAGTCTTGACTTAAGTAAAAATCGAACTGAATGTGCTTAACATTTTGGAGTCCATTTAAATTCCTTAAAAAAGCAATTACTTTTTAAATAAGTTGTGAACGCAAATATTTTTAGAAATTGTATAAAAAGCATATAATATATATATATATTTATAGAGGAATATGTTAAAGATTTAAATTGTTCATATACAGGACAATAAGGATTTGTTTTAGCTTGAGCTTTAAAATTATTAAGCGATTGCATATTGTGGATTTTACATGTAAGTAAAAATTTAATACATAATACAAAATATTTAAAGTATACACGATAAAAATACAAAATAAATGTACATACGATAGATTAAGTTGGTATATATACATATATGTATATATATTAGCTCAATAGTTTAACGCTCAACTGAATTACTTAACTTTAGTTATGAATAAACATTTTACGCGCTTCTCAAATAATTAAGTAATTGAAAAGTTTTAATATAACACGTTTACAGTCTATCAACAGATCGTTCATTGTTATATTTTACTTCTTTCTTACTATCTTGAGACTAATAAACATATCAATCATTTTAACATCGGCAGAATTTGTTTGTTTTTGTTTTAACTTAAGCTTAAATGCGTTACAGCGTACAAATATAATTTAAAAAAATTACACATAATTCAAATTTTTAATATCGAAGACGTGTTCGTCTAAATACATAATAGGAATACAGTTTGTTAATCATGTTCATTTCTTGATCTTTTCATTATCTTAGGAGTGATATGAAGTGTGTCTATATGTTCGTTTGTATGTATGGTGTGTGTGTGTGTGGTTCAAATGCCTTGAGATTAAGTTTTCCAGTTTCAAATTGGAGCTTAGCTTGCAAATTGTTTGTGGAATTTGCAAAACACATATGTAATATAAAACATCTATTTATATATATATATATATATATGTTTATATATATATATATATTAGTTATATGTCTGACACAGATATATATATATCAATAAATATATATATAAATATAAATATATTCGTGTGTGTGTGTGTGTGTGTGTTTAAAATGCATAACTAAGCAAATAGACTGGCGATTGTAATCGCAACTTAAAAACTGCGTACAAAATATATATATGTATCTTTAAGTTTTATGTGTGTGTGTGTGTGTGTGTGTGTTTGTGTGTAAATTGCACAAAACGTGCTACGTTCTCTCCTCTCTTTAATCTTTCACAGTCACTGCTCACTTTTGTGCCTGCATACGCGCCTGCATTTGTGCAAGCATCTCCTGCATGCGACGCAGCTCTGCCTCCTTCTCTTGCAGTATGCGATCCTTCTCGGATAGCACACTGTTAACGCCCACCTGGGATGAACCATTTGTATCGATGCGATCAGATTTAATGCCATTCTCTTTGCCTTTGATGCCTTTAGCAAGACGATCGGAACGATAATTTTCATAGTGCACCTCTTGTGTAACCTCTTGGAGGTCCTGCATGTGTGTGATGAGCATGGTGCGCAGTTTGATAAAATCACAATGTTCTGGATTTTCAACCTCAACAACGCCCCATGGATAGAGGCGACCGCGCACCTTCTTGCCCTTCACTTCGAGCAGAGTATTAGCGCCGCAGACGGCGAAAGGCACAGCTTCCTTCAGTTGTTTCACTTGCTCCTTGTAGTCTTCATCCTCATCTGAATCACAGTCGGGCAGTGGATATATTTTAATGCCATGGCTCTCAATTTCCTGCATGATGCGGCATTTCAAGCGCAATATCTCTTTTTTTGTTAAACAATCGGCTTTGGCAATAACAGGCACAATGTTCACCTTCGAGTGCAGTTTCTTCATAAATTCCACATCGAGCGGTTTAAGACTACAATAGAGAAAAACAATATTAATATATTATATAAAAAAGGCATATTTCAACAGCGACTCACCCATGCCCGAACGGCGATATAAAATAGAAGCAGCAATGTATGCGATTGTCCACAATATTGCGACGATTCAGTCCGCTTTCATCCTGGAGAAAACGTTCGTATTGCTCATCTATATATTCTAGTATGGCGCTAAAGCTATTTGAATTATCGATTGCATCGCCAAAACCAGGTGTATCGACTACCGTTAGACGGAGCTTTACGCCTCGTTCCTCAATCTCCACGGTCGATGCCTCCAGTTTTACAGTTTGCTTTTGTTTTTCTGTTTAACACAAATAAGTGAATTAGTAGTTATCTACATGAATTTGTATGTTTATATTGTACCTATGGCATCGGGTATAATGCGTTCCGGATATAAATCGGTTAGGAATAAACTGTTAACCAACGTTGATTTGCCTAAGCCTGATTCTCCGACAACCATCAGCGTAAATTCGAAGCCTTTTTTCACGGACTTGCGATGCACTTGATTGGGCAAATTGGCAAAGCCCACATAGCCGGGTGTCTCAATGCTCGAAAACTGCAGCGCAGACACAAATAATTAAAATCAATTTAAATATTTATTAACATATGGTTGAGTCATCAGTTGCTTATCTATTTGGTGCAATTTCTCTCTTATTCTCTCGCTCTCGCACTCCCTCTCTCATGCACTTGCAAGCCAAGCGTGACTAGAGCTGAGCGCGTGATACAATACGATATATTTGCGTACAAGACAACAATGGATAAATTAAGCCCCATTAATACAATTTAAACTTGCATGAATTTTGAAATTTATAAGAAAAAAGTAGTTAAACGTATTCGATTTTAATTTTAAAATAAAAGATAAGAGTAAAATTCAGTAAGTTAGGCAAAGCAATAAGTAAATGCAAATAGAATACAATACCATATTTAGTACACAGTTGTATAATTTAACATTAATCATCAAATTAATGTTGAAATACTTAAATAAAGAAAAGAACAAGAATTCATATTCATATTCATTCATATTCATTGCTGGTGGTGGTGTTCGTGTCGAGTCTTGTTGGAAAATCTCTGACACGCAACCATCTCTATGCATAAGTCCGCAGCTCGCGTCTGCGGGGGGTGGCGCGTCAGACATCGAAGCCTGGTTCAAAGAAAGTGGCGGCGGTATTTTGAAATGCCAGACACGCGCGAGTTTCATTGGCATTTCTAAGCCTTGTACACACACGCACACAAACATGTGCAGATAAGTACATGCACATATTTATTATTTTTCATATGTATATCGCTCTGCAAGTACATAGAAACAGTACTTAAAGCCATTGACATTCCGATCTGGGTGTACATATGCTTTCACATACATATTCATATGTAGTATGTAGGTCAAAGGCCGAAACAAAGGAAGATACTTAAGATGACGGCGACGCCTTTTTAAATGCCGGCTTTAGTGAATCATACACTTTTTGGATGAACCAATTTTGAATGTTAAGAGATGTTTATGAAAATGAACTCACACACAACACCACACAACCATTGGTGCATATTTGTGTTGGTGTGGATTTGCTGCAGCAGCAAATTGCAAACTACAAACTGCATACTGCAAACATGAGGAATTTGCATGATAAGCCGCAAACACATATATACAAAACAAGAACGCCATCGTTGTCGCGAGCGGGGATTGAAACGCTTGGTAAAGCCGCGCCCTATATGGCATACTTTGTTATACGCGTATATTATATATTACACACACACTTTTGGAATTTCGAAACTGTGAATTTGTGGAATTCGGTAAATAAATATACATTACTTACACCCTTTGTATCAGCCATATTAAAAAAACAAAAATGAAATGACGAACAAAATATGTTGCTCATGAACTGAAATGAACTAGAACCAACACACACTAAATATGATGCAGTGTGACCAGCTATTACCTATACGAAATTTACCGACACTTATCGGTTGGCTATCGAAAATACTTGCATAGTATAAATTGTTCTTGGTGTTATTTACAGCAAAATAGTACGTGTTGGTAGCCCTGCACTTTAAAGTGAAAAACTGAACACAGTGGCAACCTTAATCAGTGCAAATTAAAGGAATTTATATAAATTTAGTTTTAAAAATTAATAATTGGTTATTGATTAATAAATAATTGAACATTTTAGATAGTTGAATATTAATCTAGTTAAAAAATTAGTGAAGCCAATGTATATTTTAACCATACGTTAGCTCTTCGAAACGACCGTTAAATGGTATACAAATTTAAATTCAATGCAAAACATCACTGATATTAAAAAACACCACTGAGTTTTTTAACTATATAATTCACATTTATTTCATTTCTTTTTTTAGTATATATATATATATATATATATATATATATATATATATATATATATATATATATATATATATATATATATATATATATATATATTTATATATATGTATGTATATATATTATATTTATATATAATATGTATATATGTATATCTATATGTATGAGTGACAAAACATCGACTAGAATATGCAAAAATACTCGAAAAATAATAGAAACCAACTTAATTAAAAATGATGGCAAACGGCGAAAGGAATACACATAGATACATACATATATATATATATATATATGAATATGTGTTTTTTTTTGCTTCTGTTTGAACTAATGCCATGCCATGCCATTGTTGTCATCGATTATGTTATCAAGCGCGGAGCATGAAGCCCGTGTACATTTTCAATGGGTGGACAATGGGTGGCGCCCGGTGGACCCCAATCGTGAAGCCCACGCGAATTGGCCAAACGATGCGTTAGCCGATGGGCAATGCTGAAGCCGCCGCTGCCCTCCAGTTGGGTGAGCACAATGATCACCTGCCTGTTTAAAGAAGCAATCAAAGAACAATTATATACGCCTTACAAGCAAATATCCGTGGGTGTGCACCGTACTCAACGGACATGTCTTGCTCTTACCTTTGCAACGGCGGCACCGAATCCACAGTTTTGAGCTCACCACGAGTTGAGACCACATTATAGCTTTCCTGGCAGTCGCATTTCACATGTATCCACTTATTCTCATGCCGATTCTCCACCATGACCACCAATCCAGCCCAGCCCTTAAAGGAAGGAACCAGGTAGTGAATTAGTACAGTAATATAGACAAATCGAGTCAACAGACGTACCTTGGTCAAATAGTAGGCCGTCATGCCTTCGCGTCCCTCATGCCTTTGGCCCTTGGTCAAGGTGAGGCTAATGATGGCGTCCGCCAGCAAATGAGGCGAAGGCGTTATTTGTTCCACCAGTAAGCGCTTAGAGCTGTGTATGGCCAATATGCACTGTGGATACTGATGCGGATCCTCGATGCCCGTGTGCCAGTGATTGAACGCCAAACACACAAGCAAATAGATGTCCCGCTCCAGCATCTTGTGACAGCCAACAAAGCCGCGAACCTGCAAAGAGTAAAATGGATGAGGATGCTGTGCCCAAGGCTGAAGTTGGAGTTAAGCTTGAGGCTGAGTTCAAGTTAAGTTGAGCTGAGGCAGAGCCTAAGCTTGAGGCTGCTTGAAGCTGAGCTTAAGACAGATTCTGTACCTGTCGCTTGCTATGCTCGACCAGTCGTCCAATCTCTGGGGCAGCCGGTGAGCGTGTGCGAAAGATGACAACGCAGAGATCCAATTGAGAGCGTTGCGATTTCTCCGAGTTGCGTTGACCCTCCTGGAAGAGCGTAAACTCCGCTTCGGTGGGCTCCAGCACGGTGAGCAGGACACATGAAATGGAGCAGAGGGGCTGCAGGGTGCCCTGCAGACGCACCTCATTCCAGCCGGAGCGCACTTTGCAAATGTCAATGCAATCAAAATAGTTAAGCACATCCTCGAACGAGATCCAGAAGACGCCTTCGGAGGCGCCATGCGGCATTAGTGCGTCACGCAAATCATCTGTCCACAAGCCGGAGTCATCAGACCAATCGCCGCGCCACGAATAATGGCCCCAGGGATTGCGTAATTTCAGCAATCGATGTCCCTGTATATCCTTAACATCTAGCACAGAGTAGGCGTGCCGTGGACGCAAACCCTTATGCTGATATTCCTCCTCATCCACTTTCATGTTGCCGCCGCCACAACTGGCGCCCATCAGGAAGCGAACACAGCGCGAGCTCAGCAATTGAGCCCATATCAAATCCTTGTCGAGCTCATCCTCGCTGGGCATTGGCAGCGAGCTGGCCTGCAACGGTATACTCTCGCAGGGTGCACCAGTTAACGTGGCCAGGCCCTCGATGGCACGACCAGAGACGAGTGCTTCATAGCAGCCATGAATTTTGGCCACCGCCTTCTCGATGAGCGGCACCCACAGCTGTTTGCGCTTGGCCTGCGAGTAGACCAAATGGCCGCGCTTATCGCACGGCAACAGATCGTCTACCAAGACGGTGGTCCATTTGCCATCCTTGCAGAGACGCACCTGGTAGGCGCCCTGGGCGCATATCTCTTTGGTCACCAGCACCTCCTTGACCAAATCCTCGCGCTCCGCTAGCACGGCCAACGCGCTCAGTAGCCAACAATTGCCCAGAACACCCTGACATATATCCGATGGCAATGGTGTACGGAATACGGCCCACGGTGGATATGCGCCGCCATCGCAATTGATTTCGTGTGGCCGACGCCATTGCACCACCGGATTGCCGCCGTCGGTCACACTGCTCGCCGGATTATAGTATAAGCTCTTCGGGGCCGGCGGAAACGAGTCATCGACGAACAGCTCATTGTTATCCCGGCAATATTGTATGATATTTTGCCATTTGGTTAGTGCTTCTGTCTCCTCCAGTTGGCGCAGATTCTCCATTAGTTTACTCTCTTGTCTGATCTCGGTGCCCAAAGCAGTGATTCGCATCGATTTGCGGGCCAGAGCTTCGCTAAGCACCGCCTGCATCAGGCCGCGCGGACTCGAGCAAATGTCACAGACGACGGATGCAGCGCAGTTCTCATAGGTGCAGGCAGGACATTGCCATTTCTTGATCGAGCCGCTAGGCAGGATCAACTGTTGCTGCTGCTGCTGTTGCTGCTGCAGATTGTAGGATGAGCTGGCTGTGGAAGCAGGCATAGCCATCGATATATTGCGCGGTACTATGGAGCCGCCAGTGCTGTGACGCTTGGGTATAGCGCCCGAGGAGCTGCGCTGTTGCTGCAGCTGCAACTGCTGCTGCTGCAGCTGGATTGCGGCTGCTGTTGTTGCTGCTGCTGCTGCTGCGGCTGCTGATGCTGCTGCTGCTATTCCTGCTGCTGGTCCGCCCACTGCAGAAGCTGCTCCCGCTGCCGATCTGGGCGAGGGACTGCGCGAATTGCGATGCGCGACTGGCGGCAATTGCAACTGCGTTGGCGTCGGCGTGGGCGTATTTAGTTCACCCACTGTCTGACTGCCAGCAGCTGGATCCTGCTCCTCATAGGATTGGCCATCGGGTCGTTCGCGTATGGAATCGACCGGCAGCAAGCGCATCGATTTGCAGGCGCTGCACAAGCCAACGGATAGCGAATTCTTCAGCGTACAATGGCTGCAGGTCCAGAATTCACCTTTGCGCAGCGTCATGTCCTCGATCGAGGAGATGCTCTTCAGCTTCGAGCCGCCACAGACAATGCAGGCCATCGCCGTTGAGTAGTTGACCAGGGTGCACTTCTTGCATGTCCAGGGCTCATCGTTGCGTGGCTCGACAGCAACTGCAAAGGTGGCGAGGTGATATGAAATCAATCAATCAATCAATCAATCAGTCAGGCAGTCTATTTTACATCAAGCAGTCAATCAATCATATTGTTAGAACTTACTGGCTGTTGGCAGCTCCGCCTGCTGCAGCTGCTGGTGCTGTTGCTGTTGCTGCTGCTGCTGCTGCTGCTTGGCTAATGTCTCGCACATCTCACAGGATTCGGACCAGAGACGATTGTAGGCATAGGAACATTTGCCGCATGTCCACATCTTGCGGCTGCCTTGCAGCAGCATCGATTGCGGTTTATTGTCGTTGCGCGTCGCTTGAACAATGAGACGATTGCTGTTGCTGCTGCTGCTGCTGGACGGGATCGATGCCAATCCAGTTGCTGCCTCATGTGTGCTAAACAAAGAGAAAGATAGAGAGAGAGAGAGAGAGAGAGAGAGAGAAAAAGACAGAGAGAGTGTGAGTATAAGTGAAAATAAATCTCACGCACAATTAAGTTGCAGGCAATTTTAATTGAAAAACCAAAAAATGTTTACAAAAATTAGAGCAAAAGCTGCTGCTGCTGCAGCGCCGGTTAATTGCCTTTTAATTCGCAAAAATGAAAAGCCAAAAGAAAATAAAATTTATAAACGAAGAATTCTTTTTGTTGTTATCAGCGAGCCGAAGCAGCGAATACGCTAACGAAATGATAAAGTGAGTCACACGCAATTAGAAGTGACGACGCTGATAAGAGCTGAGCTTTGAGCTGAACGATGTCGACTCATAGATACCCTGTAACTCATATAAATATATAACACATATTTATAGCTGCTTAGCTTAATCTTAAATTGGCATAAAAATGCAATACAAATTACTATAACTAATTAGCAAAACTTAGAGAGCCAAAAATTAAATAAATTAAAATTATTTTTTTAAATATTTAAAAATATAAATGAAGTCAGTCCATTAATGGCTAATAACTTTAAAATAATTAATTAACTAAACCGGAACAAACCTATTTTAATCAATGATTAACTAATAAGTACATAAACTAGCACTTAATTAGTATTTAATTAATAATTAACTAACTCTTAATTACCTTTAATATTTAATTTTACTTAATTATTTACTAGCTCTTATTTAATAATTATTTAATTACTTTTAATTAGTTCTTAACTTGCTCTTAATGACTTTTAATTACCTAATTAATTGCTTGATTTAGTAAATCTCTTAATTACTTTAAATTATTCGCTTAAATATTAACTAATTCATCAATTTTTCTCATTAGCTAAGTTCTGTCTGACTTAATTACTGTTATTCACTTTAACTATTTCAGTAATTATTAGGTAATTATGCCTAAAATAACAAAAGACAACAATTTTAATAAAAGTGTTGCATATATAAATTAAAAGTAACTGTTAATTAGGCGTCTAACTACACGTGGATACTCTATAAAACAGCGATTAGTAACATGCTTGGGCTAGCAATTAGCTTGGCCACGTTTAAGTTAGGGTATATCAAACAGTCAAGCATAGCGCAAACCATTAACGAAATCAAGAAAACGCACAAACATATATATGCACGTATATATATATATATATATATATATATATATGAATATATATTTGTCTGTGTTTCTTTGTATAGGTTCAATTGCGTATGACTAAGCTGTGCGCAATAATTAGCAAAACAGCACAAAATTAACAATGTTAAAATAAAAGCCTAATTGATAAGTTATTGCTGGGTATCAAATGTCAGCTAGCGGCGACTATTGATGCTGTTGTTGTTGCTACTGTTGTTGCTGATGTTGTTTTTGCATACATTTTAGATTCAGTCGTTTTGCGCGGTCCCTTCCACACCTTGGCGTATATTGAATGCTCAGATGCGTGATAATAATCTGTTGTTGTGGCAACATTGGTTGCTGCCGCTGCAGCTGCAGCTACTGTTGCTGCTGCCGCTGCTGTTAATGATGTTGCTATTGTGCTCGCCTCAGCTTCCATATAATTGGCTTCATTGCTGCTGCTGCTGCTGCTGTGCTCGTTGTTTGTTGTTGTTCCAACTGCTCCTGCTGTCGATTCGCTGACATCGAAGCTGCTGTTGTTGCTGTGACTGCTGCTGCTATTATTGTTGCCCAGCAACAATGCAGTTGCTGCTGCTGCTGCTGCTACTGTTGTTGCTGTTGGCGGCTGTGTCTCATTACTGCTGAGCTTCTTTTTGTGCAACTTGTGCTGTTTATTAACCTGCGCATAAATTGGCGCCATGGGCTCCGTTCTAAGCTGCTGTTGCTGTAGTAGTTGTTGCTGTTGTTGCTGCTGCTGTTGCTGTGCAATGGCAACACATTCGTTTTCATAGAGCTGCTGATTCAATTTATTGCTAGCAATACAATTGTTATTGCTACTGCTGCTGCTGCTGCTGCTGTTATTATTGCTGTTGCTGTTGCTGCTGCTACTGTTGTTGGCATTATTGTTGTTGCTCGTCGTATCACAGTGCTGCATATTGGTATTGTTGCGATTGCTATTGCTGCTATTGCTGCTCCGTGCTGCTGGCTCCGACCAATCGTTAACGGCTATAAAAACGCCATTGCGTGGAATAGTAAATTGAGAGCTGCTGCTGCTGCTGTTATTGATGCTGTTGCTGTTGCTGATCTGCTGGGCCCTGTTACTGCTGCTGTTGTTTAGCTCACGCTGCTTAAGCTGTGACTGTCGTATGGGCTTGACGGCGGCGGCGGCAGCAGCAGCTGTTGCTGTTGCTGTTCCTGTTGCAGCTGCAGCAGCTGTTGTTGTTGCTGCTGCAGTGGGTCCTTTGGCTGATCTTGAAAGCGTTGTTATGGTAAAATTATACTTCTTCTTGGCACAGCCGTCACGAACTTTATTATTTTGATTCTTATTGTTGTTGTTCTGCTTGCGACGACAAAACGTATCATTGGCAATGGCGAAACGCGAATTGCTGCATGCAACGGGCGGCGGCGGCAAGCGCTGTATTATATCCGCCGCAACAGCTAGAAAATGAGAAGAGTCAATAAGAAGAACTAGAGCTGGGTATAGCTAGGCCAGAACTTACTGCTCTTATGTGGCAGCAACTGTTGCTGTTGTTGCTGATAGCTGATCGATGCTGCGTAGGGCAAATTGAAAATGTCTTTGCCCAAATTGCTCACATAGCATATGTGGCAGCTACGTGCCGAGGCGGCCGCAAAGGATGAGGATGAAGAGGCGATTGCTGCCTGGGTCAGGGCTGGGCTCTTATCTATGGAATTGCTCAGACTTTGGGTGCGTCGAAAGTAGGCGAAACGGCGAGATTTCAAATGACGCCGATTGGAATGTTGTTCATCCGATTGCGCATCCAGCTGCGAATGATGTGGAAGTGACTCCTCTGATGTCTGTTGCTCAGCGCCAACTGCGCTGCCGCTGCTGTTGGGGCCGATGGCACTGCTGCTGCTGCTATTTAGTTCCAGCTGTGCCCCAGCTGTGATTGCTGTTCCAGCTGCTGTGGCTGATGCTGCTGCTGCTGTTCCAGCTGTTGCCTCATGCCTGCGCGTGCATAATGTCTCCTTGTAGATAGGCGCCAGATAACTAACGGTATCGCAGATAACACAATGCCATGTCACTGAATTGTTATCCGTATCGCAGGCGCGGCAAATCCAGCGACGATTCAAAGCCGGATTTGAAAAATGTCGATATAGCTCAATAGAGTTTTTTATGTATTTGCGTGTCTCCTCACAGTCAATGCAATTGGCTGGCAAATTTTGGCTATTGCGTTGCGGACGCTTTAAACAGCCGCGCAGCAGCGATTTATAAACGTGTCCGGACTGTTGTTTTTGGTTGTTGTGCTCAGTTCTGCAAAAAGAACGAATTGGGAACCAAAAAAAGAGAAACAAAAACAAAACATATGCATAGGCAAACAGTTAAAATTTAGTTAACTGTAAAAGCTGCAAATGTAAATGTGGAATTGCAAAAAGTTTATTTCGATGTGGCCAGATCGGCCAATTTTGATAAGCGCTTTCTGCTTGTTCCTTTTTATTGCACTAAATATTTTGCGAATTGTTTGTTTAGTTTTTGTTTTAAATCAATTTGTGTTTCTTTTTCCTTATGTTGTGCCTTTTCACTTGTGACGCGCAGCCAAAGTTCAGAATCAATAAAATTGTAAACAAACTTGCGTTTCTTTCCCATCGATTTTCCCCAAAAAAAAAAAAACAAAAACTACAACAAAGAAAAACACTTTTTTACAGCGTTTTGTTGTTGCTGTAGTTGCTTCAAATTTTGTTGTTATTGTGTATACACTGTGTACAATACACAAACAGACACGCACAGACACGCACGGACACGCACATACACCCACACAGTTACCCACAGAGGGGAGAGACAGAGAGAACAAGAAAAGGACAAACCTCACGCACACGCACACCCACACACATGCAGTTTTAGTTTTGTTTGGTGTAACGGTAAACGATGGCTGGAGCTTTTGTGTGCACCCGCACACATACACGCACGCACAAGTGTATGCATATGTCTGTATATGAATGTATGTATTTATGTGTGCTTACCTGGTCACAGCTTTGTGCTTATCAACAATTGTCGCGACCTCCTCCTCATCACACTCGGCGGCCAGCTCTGCAGAGCCTGCAACCAGGTTTTCGTGCTGTCGTTGTTGACGATGTTGATGTTGCTGTTGTTGTTGTTGTTGCTGCTGCTGTTGATGTATCCAACTGCTTTGGTGTCGCGGTGGCTGGGAACGCGTTTGTGTCGTTTGCTGATAGATTGTTGCGGTAGGACTGGGGAATACCTTACGCACAGTGCCACAATTGAAACATTTTAATGACTCGGTCGGATTGATGGTATTGCATTTGGTGCACGACCATTGCAGTACAGATGATATAGTGCCCATATTGCAGCAGCAACTTGTATTAATATAATTGAAATTTCACATTCGACAAATTCGCACAACAGTTCACGACAATGCTGTATGTGATGAGTGAGATAAAGATAGACAGAAAGACAGAGCAAGAGAGAAAGACAGAAAGAGAGAGTGGGAGGGAGAGGGAGTAAGGGGCCGGGGGCCAGTTGCTGATTGGTGGAAGGAAGTTCTAAAAAAATTCACAGCCAGCCGTTGTTAATTGCATTTAACACATCTCACGCCGCGCGCGCCCGATTTAATATTTTGAACTGTTGCACCACAACACATATTTAGTATATATATTGTGGGCCAACCTTGTTGTAGATACAGATCCTTGAGCAACAATAATGCTTGTAGCACCAGCCATCCAGCCAGCCAGCCCACCAAACCTACAGATGAACGATAGATTAGTGATTGTTGAGATGACTCCCCGTGAGCATCGTGTCACACGAGTATCGCATAACATTGATAAGGACATTGGGCATAATTTTTCATGTGACTCAAGTAATTATTAGCCCACACAATATATATATAAGTTACTGAAATACAAGGTAAAATCGACATATCTGATTTAAATTTATAAGCATGCTTTGGTGCAAATTCTAATTGTGTACTGGGACAGCTGTCTGTTTGAATATTGACCATCTCTAATATTTATCTCTTTATCGTGTGTAACCAAAAATCGTTTTACAGTTATCGAGTATACTCATTCAAAGACATGTTGATATGTCGAAAATAAAATGTTGCAGACATAATAATGTTATCGATAAGGTTGCACAGCAAGATATACAAATTTCAAAATAAACACAAATTCCTTTTAATAAAATCATGAATAAAACTTTTACTTTAATCATTTTATTTATAGCCAAACTTCGATTAGCCAGCTTAATATCAATATTATAAAAATGGCTCAGTCTGACTGTTATTTTGAAATATATTGAACAAAAGTATCATGAATTGTGCACTATCGATAACAAATCAAAGCACTTACCCGCGTGCAACAGTCATCGTAGTGTGACCTAAACGTGTTTCGGTTTTAACAATTATAAATAAGCTGCGCGGCATGCAAAAACAGAAGCCCCGAGGTCCTGGCAAGCCAGGATCACGTGCGCCATCCAAGCCGGGCAGCAGCCACAAACCCAACAACAAGCAACACAATCAGAAACGGGCTAAAGAGCTGTCACGCTCTAAATTGGCCGCAACCGAGACGGAAATTCAGGAATTACGTGCCAAATATGATGAAATCGACGCAGATACGATTAAAACCTTTGCCCAGTTTCCACTATCACAGAAAACACAAAAAGCCTTAGCCGAGGCCAAGTACACAACGCCTACCGAGGTGCAGCGTTTGAGTATAGGACACGCGCTACAGGGCAAAGATGTGCTTGGAGCAGCTATCACGGGCAGCGGCAAAACTTTGGCCTTTCTTATACCCGTAAGTGAAGAAGACCAGATTGCAGACTGCAACAAATCTGTAATCAAATGCAAGTTATCATATAGTAAAACTATTTATTTAGGTCCTGGAACATCTGTATATGAGTAAATGGTCCCGTTCTGATGGAGTTGGAGCCATTATCATCTCTCCAACACGTGAGCTAGCCTACCAAATCTTTGAAACACTGAAGAGAATCGGCAAGCATCATGATTTCTCTGCGGGTCTTATTATTGGCGGCAAAAATCTAAAATTCGAACGCACGCGTATGGATCAATGCAACATACTGATATGCACACCTGGTCGATTACTCCAGCACATGGACGAGAATCCCCTGTTTAATACAACCACAATGGAGCTGTTGGTACTGGACGAGGCGGATCGCTGCCTGGACATGGGCTTCCAAAAGACACTCAATTCTATAATCGAAAACTTTCCGCCAGATCGTCAAACGTTATTGTTTTCGGCAACTCAAACCAATACACTGGAGGATCTGGCCCGACTCAATCTAAAGAGTCCAGTCTACGTGGGCTATGGTGCAGCTAAGTCAGTTGACACAAAACCTACAGGATCCACAGCTGTGTTGGCCTTGCCGGAATTGCTGCAACAGAGCTATGTGGTTCTTCCGCTGGAGGATAAGTTAACGATGCTGTGGTCGTTCATTAAGAATCACCTGAAGCAAAAGATCATTGTCTTTGTTTCCAGCTGTAAGCAGGCGAAATATTTGTATGAGATCTTTTGTAAATTGCGACCAGGCGTTGGATTGCTGGCACTTTATGGCACCTTGCATCAGGATCGTCGCATTGCCATCTATGAGGACTTTCTGCGCAAAAGCCATGTGGTCATGTTTGCCACGGATGTGGCTTCACGCGGCCTAGACTTTCCCTCCGTTAACTGGGTTCTGCAGCTGGATTGTCCCGAAGATGTATCCCAATATATTCATCGGGCAGGTCGCTCGGCACGCAATAAAAATCGAGGTGAATGCCTTCTGGTGTTGACGCCCAGCGAGGAGGAGTACATGATATCTGCTCTAAAGGAACAGCTTAATCTCGACATACGCTCTGTCCTCATTGATCCCAAGAAATTATTCTCGCCACGCGTCAAAATCGAAGCGTTTCTCGCACAATTTCCCGATTTGCGTGCTTCGGCTCAACGTGCTTTTCTTTCCTATCTAAAATCTGTGTTCCTTATGCGCAATAAGCGACTGTTTAATGTGCTTAGCCTTGATCTGGATGCCTATGCCCAGTCCCTGGGATTGGCTGTCACTCCTCGTGTGCCTTTCATCGAAAAGCTGAAATGGCGGCATAAGCAACAGCAACAGCTGGAACAACCGGAGCGGCAAGCAAATACAGCAACAGGCTTTGGCCACGACAACGACAATGAGGAAGAGGAGGAAGCGGATGACTTTATAAAGATCAAGCGGCGGGATCACGACGTTGAAGGTGAGCCCATTGAACTGGAGCAGCAGGTGAAACAGGAGTCGGAAGAGGCGCTTGTGGTGCCCAAGCGTGAGAAGCTAGTGACCAAAGCGTCGCTGGCCAAGAAGGCCATTAAAAAGAACATACAAATCAATTCGAAGCTCAAATTCGATGAGGATGGCCAGACGCTTGCTGATGAGCGTAACCAAATGAAGGCGCTGACGACCAGGCAACAGAAGCAACAACAAAAACAAAAGGATGATGATGGTGGCATCAATCTAATGTTGTCCAAGGCACTGCTCAACGAGGAGGATCAATATGATAAGCAGCGTTTCCGTGAGCTGGTCAAGAAACGCCATAAGCTGCAGCGCGAGAAATTGCGCAAAAAGGCAGATCAACAGCAGAGCGACGACGAGGAGGACGAGGAGCAGCAACAGAAAGATGATAAAACACAGCAGTTTGATATGGATAGCGAGAGTGAGCAGTCAGTGGATTTGTCCTGGCTGCCAGATCCAGAGAAGATCTATAGAAAGAGGGACAATGTGAAGGAGGAGGATGTAGAGCAGAAAGATGAAGATGATGAGGATGAGGATGAGCATGACGACGATGATGATGATGATGATGATGATGATGATGATGAACCTGTCTTTAAGAAGTCCAGAATAACAGATAAGCTAACGCTGCTGGACACTGAAGCCATAGCAGCTAATTTGCTGGCCAGCTAAGGCAGATGCCGCAAAGCGCTGGCCATGGGCTGCGGCAGGAGCAAGCAGATAATGAGGCGCAGAGAAATGTAGATTGTTCCATGCATCTGACTGTATGGCAACGAGTACAAGCTGAGGAGGAGATGGAGTAGGATTACCTAACTAAACCCAATTCCAAGCCAAATTGTGCTCGCCAGCTTTTCGTAGCTTCATTATATAGCCCAATCCTTAGCTTAAGAATCTTTTTTATTTGAATAAAAAAAAAAACAAGGAAACAACGAAATGTAAATGCTTCACAAATATTTGGAAAATGCCCACAAATTTATTTATTTTTTATTCTTTTTTTTGCACTCCATAGCCTGACATATATAGCTGCATACATATATATATATATATATATGCCTGATGGGGAGCGCTGGGTTTTGGGGAGGGGGTGTGGCTAGGATTTTGTTTTTTTTTTATGGGGGGCATAAAATTTGCTTTTAAAAATATTACACATCACGTCGAATTACATTTGTTTTTTGCTTTTGTTTTGAGACATTGCATTTTTTTGTTTTTCGTTTTTTTTTGTTTGTTTTTTAGGCGTATATATAAATAAATGCACACAGACATATATATGAATCCATATACATATATATACTATATATATGCATGCACAAATCGTGTACAAATAATGCAATAGACACACATATCTATACAAATTATACTATATATTGGTTATTTCTTTTTTGCGTTTGTTTTTATTTTTGTTTTGTTTTGTTTTGTTTTTTTTTTTTGTTTCTCATTCTCTGCTCTCTATTTTCGCTTTTGTTGTCATTTGTCTTTACTTTTTTTGTTTGTTTTCGCTTTAAGTTTGAGGTCCGTTCCAGACACAAGATACACAAGATAATTATATAATTATATATATGTATATATGCATATAGATATATATATATATATATATATATATATATATATATATATATATATATGTATATATATACATATATATTAGTTTTTATAAAAAATTAATGCTCAATTACAAGGAATAACACTTATGCTTATGTTTAGATTTCGCTTTTCTTTTTATTTAGTTTAAAATACATACACACAAATTATATATATATATATATATATAGCAAGTGTATATGTAAGTAGAGCACACATTTATAATAATAGCTGAGAGCTAAGAGACAAAGAATTTTTAATTTTTTTTAAATTTTTCTTGCAATATTGATCCTGTGAGTGATGGGTGGAGGGGCGGGGCGGAGCAGGGGCTGAGGGGTTTCGTTAATAGGTTATATTATCATATAATTTAGCGCTAATACTTAATACATTTTCATCTTTTAGACACAATTCAATACGTATGTATACATACATACCTAGACATCTATATATATATATATATATATATATATATATATGTATATGTATGTATATATATATAAATATATATATATATGTATATATATATAAATATCTATATAGAAATATTTAGTTTCTTATACATTTAAATACACATAGAAGAAACAAGCATGCATGCGAGCATGCATGCATTCATCCATTCACTCCATCTCTCTCTAACACACACCCACACGCACATACTCTCCTTTAACAGAGACACGCAATCATTCTCTCTCTCACTCTCTCTGGAAGAAGTGAGATCGATCACACACACTTTCTTTCACACTCTCACAATACACATAGAGATTCAAATTTGTAGTAGTTCAAATTGTTTTTTTTTTGCTTCGTTTTGTTTTTAAGTGTAATTTTTTTTGTTAGCCCAAGTTGCCTCTGCCTCTGCTTCTTTTAACTAGACATCTATATCGATATATATATATTTATATATATATATATAAATTATATTTATGTATATATGTGTATACATACATAAATACATATATATATATATATATATGGTTTACTTTTTTAACATACATTTTAACATACAATACACAAATAATCAATTTTTTATATGCAAGATCCTATGCAGACGTATATATATATATATATATATATATATATATATATATATATATATATATATAAATATATATATATATATATATATATATATATATATATATATATATATATATATATATATATATATATATATATATATATATATATATATATATATGTTATAATAGATCGGGCACAAAAACCCCTATGCGTTTACACATATCACGGAAACACAACAAAGCCATTAATACAAAATATATATAATTTTCATATATATGTATATATATATATATATTATAAATATATATATATATATATATATATATATATATACACATATATATATATATATATATATACATTCACATACATATATAAAATAAATATATCCTACTTAACTAATTGGTTTATACTTTTTATACCAAATACTTTACACGCACACACATATACACATTTAAATGGTGTAAATACACACATACATACATACATATATATACATGTGTGTATACATATATAAATATATAAATTGGAGTATATATATATGCATCTTTATACTGTTGCGTTTACAAAAATTTGACATTTCTTTCTTTCGCGACTTTGCTGCCTGCTTTTCCATTACACATATTTTTGTTCTGCTTTATGTTTTTGTTTGATGATCTTTCAATCGACCGATGGGTTCTCTTCAAAGCCCTTCTCTATAAATAGATCTGCTCTGCTGCTACTTGTTCATCTTTTGTGTATTCATCTATTGTCTGTTTAGACCATAACGAAAGCATCTTTGCCACAGAATAGATATGGAAATTGATCGATCATCGTTTGCACAATATCCTCGAGATAGGGACGCAATTGTTCAAAATGGCCCATATCCGTGAAATCTATGGGTATCAATGTGGGCCACCAGCAAATTGCCAAATTTTTGCTATCCATGCTATTCAGCTTCGAGTTGTCCGAGACACTGCAAGAAACGTATAACATTAAAATCAACAATATATATATATATATATAGAGTCGTTGTGGGATTCGTGACTTACTGCACAAAGTGCTGGAATATGTATTTGAGTATGGCGAAATTGATGGGTGGTAATTTTTGTAGCAATGACTTTAAAGCTATCAAACGGCAGCTGCGATCGGTCTTCACCTCAACGTTCAGTTTGGAGGAGCCAACGCCGCGAGAGCCTGACCAGAAACAGAAAAAACAATTGTAAATTAAATTTGTTTTATGGATAGACTTGAAGAGTTTTGGACTAACCGGCAATTTCCTCCAGCTCCTTGATAATATCCTTGCTGAACAGCGGTGGCAAACGTTTCGAAAAGAAGTCCTTGAGCGCGGTGGCTACTGCATTTACCGGTATATCCAGTACATCAATAATTGTATTGGTATCTAACGTTAAGGATAATAGACATAAGCTTATACGTATATATAAATATTGTTGTTTCCTTTACCTTCTTCGAAACGTTGGAACAGCATGTCGACATGAGCTCGACTGCCTGGCACACGATAGATGCCCTCGGAATCGAGTCCTTCCTTCTCAATGAATTCAACGCATTTGATTAGGAATATGGGTATCTCGTCCTTATCGGATGTGATCATTAATTTGCCAAATTGGGCTTCAGTTGTTTCGGTTAGTCCTTTGGCATTCTGTTTGAGCTTACGCTTGAGCTTCTTCTCCTGCTCCTTTTCCTTCTCCTGCAGCTTGCGCAATCGTGTCTGCTCCTCTTTGATACGTCGCTTCTCCAGCTTCTCGAAATCCTTCAAGCATTTCGCATTCATATTGTATTCGGGCAAGTTCTCAGCACCAAATATGCTCACTGCAGTTAGTTCTGGCACCATGGAATACTAAGGAAGATAAATTTGTGTACATATATATATATAAATAAATATATTATATTTGATTATATGAGAGATCTTTGAGTAGTTTTACCTCTGGTGATTTGTCGCTTTTCATGAATTCGGGCACAATCCCAGAGTCAGCTTTTTCTAAAGACGGAAAAAAGAGTTAACAAGCATAGTCTTATAAAAGTTAAGGCTAACAGACGTCTAGTTAAAGAATTACTCTGTTAATTGTATAAAAATAATCTTTAACATTATTGCTGACATACTTAAACATAAAATATTCAAATGAAGTAAGCCCAAAAGCAACAAAGCAAAATAGTTTATGCTGTGTTATAAAAAGTCTTATAAATGCTAAGCTGCATGTTAATGCTAATGGTAACATACTTATACTTAAAGCCGATCTCAAATGTTAGTGGTTTTAGCATTTGGCTGAACTGAAGAGCAACTCGAACAAGAAATGCAAATAATAAAGCACGACACATACTTTTCTCACCTGCAGCTGCAGCAGCGGCCATACGCTGATAGTGCAACGGTATCTCTGGTGGACTGACATACGCACCAAATGGTGGCACACGTGGCGTCTGCACCGGAATGGCCACCTTCTTCTTCTTGTTCTTCTTGGTGGTAGTGCCAGCCTTCTTGTTAGCCTTATAGTAGGCATTCTGCTGACGTACGCGACGCTCCGTTGAACTGGCGCAGCTATCCGACTCGGTGCAGTCTATGGAAGGAAAAGAAAGCATGGAATGCATAAGGATCAAGTAATCGAATCCCTATCCCTATCCAAGCCAAGAGTCTATTCGACAGTCGATTTATCTTAGCTAAAGCAACCAAATCTGTAGTCCAGATACTGATTCGAACCCCAAGCCGAATCGCATTAAGAATTATGATCTGAAGATAAAATTCATTTACATTTACAGCTCATGCACTTGACTTATTACGAATACATAATCGTTTAAATCTATACTTGACACAGTTTCATGGAGATTTACTGGCCTAATCAGCGTCAGTTAAACCCGTTTGCAATAGTGTTCAGGGTATGTGGTAGTCAGTTAGATCATATTACAATGTACTGGCTGCTGTAGTTCATCTGCTTTTCTTATATTCTTCTTCTTAAACGCACCTTCATTTTCATAGATTTGCTCGTACTCGGCAAGCTCCTCAGAGTCCTCATCCTCGCCATCAAGCTGGGCATGGTCATAGCGTTTGGCATCCTTCTCAACACCCGGTTCACAACAGCCGGCCAAATAGGACTCTCCCATGCTGCCGCTGCTAGTGAAATTCATTTTGGCAACTGCATCGCTAACCAGCTGAAAGTTCTTCATATTCAGCTTGCCCGGTTGCTGTGTGGGTAGCGTGAAAGTTGAGGAGCTCATGGCACAGTTACGACTGGGCGCTTCACCCACCTTCAGCGTTTGGCTGGGTCCCTTTGGCCGTATTTTATTCAAATTGGAATCGATATGCCGCCTGCCTGTGGTATACGCATGCGTTGAGCCACTAAAATTATTCCAGATGGAGTTCTTATT